GCTCTTTCGAAATGGCGCAGCCCGGCTGCTGGGGCCCCAGCTGCACTTACACCGGTACCAACACGAACTCATACGCGAAGCCGGGCGTGTGCACCGGCACTGCGGGCTACATTGCCGACGCCGAGATTGCCGAGATCATGGCCGGAACCGGCTCGAAGCGTTCAGGCAGAGTTACGGCTAGCTTCGTCGATGCAAGCAGCAATAGCGACATTCTTGTGTACGATAACACCCAGTGGGTTGGCTATATGAGCGCTGCCACCAAGAAATCCCGCGCAGCGCTTTACACGGCGTGGGGAATGGGAGGCACCACGGACTGGGCCAGCGATCTGCAAAAGTACAACGACGTTCCCTCGCCTGCCAAGGACTGGAACTCTTTCAAGCAAGCCATCCGTGCCGGCTTGGACCCTAAGGGTGACGATGGCGTTCGTGATGGTAACTGGACCAAACTGACCTGCGACAATGACTACACCATCAACTGGGACGACCATACACCCGAGGAGATCTGGAAGAAGCTCAATGCGGATGCTGCGTGGGACGATGTGGTCAGGAACTGGAAAGACAACAACCGTGGCAGACCGGGCTTCAGCTTTATGGACTCGGTTGGTCTTACCCTCGGCATGGGAGCTGGAGGCACCGCACAGTGTGGCACGCTGGGTAAGCACGACAATTGCGACAAGACCGAGGATTGTCCCGACAGTGCGAACGGGGACAGGTCTGGTCCTGCAGCGCAGTTGATCTGGAACTCGCTGGTGTGGATCCATGAGGCCTACCATGAGTACTACGACGCTTTGTACGACGTTGCGGGCATCATCAGCACGTCTCTTGATAACATGGAGGATACCTTCGCTCCTATTCCAGCGCCGCCTGACAACAAGTGGACGTATCTGCTAATCGATCTGATCACTCTCGGAACCCTCTCGGTTGCCGGCCCTTTCTTCAACACGCTGCTCAAGAACACCGCGTATTTCATCGAAAAGGAAGGTTCGGCTCTTGACAACCTCAAGGACACCACTTTGACCTTGATCGGCCAGAGCACGACCATCGCCAAGGATGTGCTACCCAGCAAAGACTCCCCTTGGACACCCGAAGCCCAAAACGAGTACTCCAACTACATGGGCCAAGCCATCGCCGGCTGGGCCAACGTCACCTCCCTCTCCCTCGAAAAGTTCTTTGAGGCCACCGACGACACGCTCGACGCCATGGGCGAGCTCATCTCTGACGGCAAGCTGATCCGGGGCTCAACAGGCAACAACGTGGTCGACGGCTCCAACCAATCCAACGACCTACGCGCCAACCTCGCCAAGTCCTTCTACGCCTACGCCATCCCCAACCTCTGGCGCTCCGCCAAGACGTACGCCTTTGTGCTCGACTCGGGCATCTCGTGCAGCACCTCCAACCCGCTCGGCGACTATCTCGAAGACGACACCATGAAAGACACGGGCGCGTGTGTCGACGGCACGTGGTACTACCTCGTGCACCCCGACGGCGACAGCAAAAAGTGCCAGTGCCAAATCGTCGGCGACCACGGGCCCTGCCAGACCATCTGCCGCGACAACAAGTTCTCGGCTCCGCCCGGCATCGGCTCGCTCAGCAACTTTGGCGGTATTTCCAAGGACGACCTGATCACGGGCTCCGTCCGCACCTACAAGCAAAACGGCCAAAAGAACGGCGGTTCCTCCCCCGATCCGCGCGACGGCGGCACCATCGATAACCTCCTCAAGGTCGACGTCACCACCCCCGGCTACGTCCGTCTGCCCGTCTGCTCCCCCGAGCGCGCCTTCCAGTCCTGGGACACCTCCAGCAAGGGATCATCCGACAATTACCCGTGCGACATCCCGCCCGGCAAGAACGACTGCGGCGATTCGAGCTTTGAGAACCAGACGTCGGACGCCAGCCCCAGCGTGGATGATTGTCTGGCGATCATCAAGAACATTCAGGGCGACGGCGGCACCGAGTGGACGACGCAGGTGGTGGGCAAGAACCAGCGCGAGATTGCCAAGGCAGGGTCATGCGCCTTTGGGGTGGAGGCGACCAAGGTAAATGGAAACGTTAACTTTAAGGTGGGTGGGCAGGATGTGATTGATATTATCAATGAGGCGATCAATAGGTTCGGTGGAGGGGGCAAGGTCGGCGCCAAGGGGGATATGAGTTGTAATGGTAATGTTCATGGACAGGATGTTAAGTGGGGGATTTACTAGATGGTCTACATATGTACTCGTTGCAGTAGGTCTGGCTGGGTGTTGGAAGTTTACCTGCCTACACATGTGGTCTTTATCACTTCTTTTCTTTCTTTGTAGGTTGTGTTAGTACCCTGGTATCTATCTCGTACCATTTTCCCGTCTTAATCCAAAATTTATGCAATACAGTAATGGCCTTAGTCTGATTTATATCATGCATAATACCTCTACCCTTAGGATGCCTACCCACCTAGTGTTTCTTACTATTGTCCCTCCTTGTAGCACCTTCCGGGCGATCGACATCATCGTACCTACTTGGTAACTGTGATCGTTCTGCTTCATTGCACTGTTTGGCCGTGGAATTCCATTCTGAAATCGAGCCAAACAAACCACCACACCAATCATATATATGTAGCCTTCCTTCTCTGTTTCAAAAGCCGACCGACCCCTCTCGCCCCTGACAACCTAATTTGTTGACAGCTTTGACATTATACCTTGAGTATATATACTCTTACTACACTACACATCCAAGCGTCTTCAATATACTTTTGAACTTGTCTGTCGCTTACCTAGGCAATTCCTAGATGAGTGGGGAATATCCCAAAGGGACGCTAGCCGATGTGTTTTTGAATGATTGTAATCCCTATTATAAATTTACAACGGTCTTTCATAACTGTTATGAGTAGAACAGTTTTATTAGGGGCGAGAGGAGGTCGGCTTTTGAAATAGAGAAGGCTATAATTGGTGTGGTTTGTTGGCTCGATTGAATGGAATTCTACGGCCAAACAGTGCAATGAATTAGAACGATTACAGTGAGGTATCCAAGTACGATAATGTACCTGTATATAAAGGGCGTCTCGTCGGATTTCGTATCCCTCTTCACTTAAACATAGGTCTTTTTCACTCTAGACAAAACGATGGCTACGGGGGACAAGATACTTGATATAGCATTCTGTGTGTGTTGCGTTTGTGTCGTAAGGCTTTTCGTCTTCTTGGAATCGAGTAGATATCTTTGCTGATACCTTTCCAATTCACCTCAAGGTGTTTTCAAGTCAGTTTAGGGTGTTTCTGACTCAATTTAGGGTGTTTTGGTGTTGGTGACTAGCCGTGCTGGACGATCAAATGTAATTCTATCATGTTTTGTATGTACATTGTCCAGATAGTCCCCGTGGTTACTCGCTAGGGATAGTTACAAGGAACTTATAAATAACACTCCTGATATGGACTGCTTGTGCCTCAAAGAACAACCCTGCAATTGATGCAAAAGCAAGTGTAATTATTCCTGTGTAAAGCGTGATGCAGAAGGAAGAATTAGGAAGAGTGGAAGCCACGCACAGATGGATTAATGTAATCCATCTGGGCGACCCACTTTCCTTATCTTATCGCCTGGGTCTGCGCTGCAGCCGAGGCGGCAGTGCAGTCCCGGCGCCCCACATCTACGACTCAATTGCTGTCTTTGGTGTAATACTCTACATACATGAAAATGGACCGTATCAACTCCAAATATTTATACTATACGTGAAGAAATCTCCGCTTACAGATCTAGCTCCTTGAAGCCTCGAGTACGAACAATTCCTAGTATTCTATTATGGGGTGCTAAACCTTTGTACCAAAAAAAAAAAAAAAGAAAGAAAAAAAAAAGGACTAGTTTCCGTCAAGTTGACCTGGCTGCGCAGGCAGTTGCCGGTGTCACATTCCTCCTAAAAGTATTCATTACCCATTAGGCTGTGCGAGCTGAAAGTTCTTTGATGTTTACGGGTATAGAAGATTTCAAGAATTTCACTAACGATTTGTGCCAGCATGCCTTAAATAGAAAGAATGTAAGTATCCTCTTAAACGTACCTAGACACGCTCAGGGATAGCTTATTAATAGCCAAATATATATCAAATAGTATACCTTCTCCTTAGACTCACTTCTCTAAAAGTCTCTAATCCTTCCCTGATTACATTCTCAATTCATTTAGGCCGCCGATTCTAAGAAATCTTACTTCAAAAGGTCCTTCACACTCTTACATCCTCAACCATCACCATTTCGTATCCCAACCTAGCGTGCCGCACTGCGTGGTGCCTCCGGGGGGCGGGCATCCAGCCAAAACACGACCAAAAATCCAAAACGCCAAACCAACATCTTCTAGATCTGGTTGCCGAATGCACAACGGTTATTATCGCGATGGATTTTCACGTTCTGAGCGGTCTTATATATATACCCGCATGTTGGGCAAAAAAACTTTGGTGTAGCCGGGGGCGGCCGTCCCTCCGCGACGGCCACCCGTACCGCGTGAATATGAGATTTTCTTCAATGAGCATTTATTTGCACGTGGATGTTCCATCCCGGCATCTCGGGACACAATTCACACAAAAATATTTGTGATTGAGCTGGAATAGCCGGCATGTCCGGGTGGTGCTTGCTTATGTGTTTTTTTAGATCCGGAAGGGGAAAGGCGAATAAGAAAAGAAAACGAAGAACAAAAGAAAAGAACGAAAGAACATGTCCCAGTTTGCAACGCAGTCTGCTTCTCCTTTGCCCCGAAATCTCACCAGGTATCTTCATCTGGCATACAGTAGTCTTCACCCTGCAGTCTCTTTTGATCATCATAACCTCTTCCCGTACTGTAGCCCTGTCCAGGTAATCTTTGCGTCCCATCACCAGATCCTGTAGTTGCGCGCAATCCACCTCAAGTACCATCTACTTGAGAGGCCCCCCAGCCAGGTAAACCTTCGCTTGGTAGGTAGGTAGTTCCCTCCTCACCTCAGATGGTATTCTTGCTGGCGAATGCCGCCGCCTTGGACCCCTCCCACCCCTTGTGAGTCATCAGCCGCTTGCTATATTGCTTGCAACTGGCTGGACATGCTTCCTTCGGATTGATGATGCCTTCCTTGGTAAGAGGCTTCCTCAGGTGAAGTTTCCAGTGTTCATTTGCCCCCCTGCGCAAGTGCACCTCGAGGGCAAAATCATATGATGGCTCTGATGAGATCCACCCACACAGGTAAATACTGAAGCGGATCCAAGATCGGTGCTACTTCGTCTAGATCTTCACTTTGCAAATCCGCCCACGAGACATTGTCGATCAGGCTCTCATCCGTCGCTTCATGAACCCATAATGAACCTTGCTCGTCATATAGCCAATCCCAGTGTTCCGCCGGTATTGTATCAAATGCGAAACCTCCGTGCTCCATCAGTACCCAATACACTTCTCGATGATCTTGGGAGCCTCCTTTATGAGCCAGCTCAAACAAGGTCTGCGAATCGAAAGTGGCAGTGTCCGTCTCGGCCCCATACCGAAGTAGGACCTTCACACATCCCACCGCCCCCTTGGAGATAGCGTGTTCCAGATATTTGCGACCATAAGAGTCCGTTTCCTCGACGTAGGCACAATAACGGCACAGCGTCTCAACCATACTTTGATCAGCGGCGTTCAAAGCAACCTCCAGTGGTGTCTGATCGCGTCCATTCCTCTCTTCAGTTTTAGCCCCCTTCTCCAGGAGCTTATTGACCCAGTATTCCTCTGCCCCTCTTACAGCCAGACAGAGCAGAGTTTCATCGTCGTCCTCTCGATTCCTGATATCAGGACACTCTTCGACGAGCACTCGAGCAACATCCGTGTGACCCAAAAACTCCGCCCAAGCTAAGGGCTTTAGCAATCCATGTTTGTCCTGAGGCTCGATAGTCGCACCGTTGTTGAGAAGGAACTTGACGAGAGAAGCGCGCCCATTGAAAACCGCGCAGAACAGCGCGGTCTCTCTTCGCTCATTTACCGCATTGATCCTAACACCCTTTTGAAGAAATAGCTCGGCCAGATGGGAGTTCCCAATCGCCGCTGCCATCATCAGCATAGTATATCCGTTAACATCTTTTGCGAAAGCGTCGGCCCCCTTGTCGACAAGTAGCTCAACAAGATGAACATTCCTTCTGTATGCTGCCATTAACAATGGCGTATACCCATTTGACTCCGCAGCCTCGATATTAGCACCATTTTCTAGAAGTAGCGCGACGAGATGAGCATTCCCTCTGTACGCTGCCATTAATAATGGCGTATACCCATTTGACTCCGCAGCCTCGATATTAGCACCATTTTCTAGAAGTAGCTCGACGAGATGAGCAATCTCTCCGTAAACTGCATTCCCTAGGTATACTGCTTTTAACAATGGCGTATACCCTTTTAAATCCACAGCATCGATATTGGCACCTTTCGCCAGGAGAAGCTGAACCATATCGCTTTGCTCCTTATGAACTGCCACTAACAGTCCATGTGGAGTTTCCTCACGGTTGTTCCGAGCCTCAATATCGGCACCTTTCTCCAGGAGAAGCTTAACCATATCGCTTTTCTTCCCACGAATCGCCAGTAGTAGTGGAGTGTGTCCGTCGTTGTCCCGAGCCTCAGTGTTAGCACCACAGCTTAACAGGATCCCAGCGATACGGCAATGACCAGATATTGCGGCCAATGCTAACGGGGTATGGCCATTGGAGTCCTGAGACTCAATGTCCACAGCTATCCGGGCTGAGATCGAGATGCACTCCTTAGCCAAGTCATGGCTCTCTGCTTTGAGGCCGTAATCAAGGGACTCGACCCGGGCAATATCAACTGGAGAATCTCCGGAGATGTTGAGATCCACACCATTCTCTGTTCCAAGAAACATTTCGACAAGTTGTTCATGTCCGATTTTGACAGCTTCATGGAGCGCGGACGACTTATTTTTTCCAAGCGTTCGATTTGGATCGGCTCCAGTCTTCCACAAAATCATTGCTGTCCCCATGTGACTTTTGTGAGCTGCAGCAAACAGGGGTGTGACTTTGTCACTGTCCCACCAACTGATTTCACCCAAACTCTCCGGGTTAGCACCCCTTTGTACTAGGAAATCGACAAGTTGCTCGTGGCCACGACTAGCTGCTATGACCAGCAAAGGGCAATCTCCCTTAGAATTTGCGATCTCAGCTCCTTTCTTGAGCAGATCTTCAACCATCGACACATCAACCTCGAATTCGCCGTATGTAGCTTCGCAAATGGCTTCAAGAACCGGGGTTCCACCCAGTACGCGAACTTGCGCTCCCTTGCAAAGGAGAATCCGGGCCATAGTCATGTCTCCATCTTCCAAGGCCATGTAGAGTGGTGTCTTTTGCTTATATAGGGCGTTCAGATCCTCACTTCTTTCGGGAAGTGCTTCTGCAGCTCTATGCAGGCCATGCATCACAGCCCAGTGAAATGCCGATTGGGTTGTCCACTTGTCGCTTTCATATTCCTCCCAGTCCTCAAACAACCAACCATACTTAGCTAACCCAACTTCCGAAGCCTGAGCTGCAGCTTTCATGGCCTCTTTACACTGCAAGAATCCAAGAAGAAGCTCGGAGGCCTCGGAGCAGAAGTGAGCATGCTTGGCCCAGTACTTTGCAGCATACAGATAAAGCGAGTTTCTTGAGATCCGCTCAATATACTGGTCTTTGAAAGTGCAAGGCCCGCTTCTGAAGATAGAGAACATCAGGTATGTCACACAAATGTCCGTAATCGCAACATGTGGGTTTGCGTATAGGGGTGGTTTGAAGTGTCGCCGCTCCAAGTATTCTTGCGTAGTGTAATGGACCAGGCGGACTTCTTGGGTTTTATCGTCAACGATTGCCAGTCCAGCGCAAATTGACACATCCAGGCTGACAACGAGATTGTCTTCATCTAACTCGGTGCGGCCAACCTCAACAGCAAGGGCATGTCTGAGTTCTTCTGTCGAAAGAGGTCGTTTTGCGTGCGTGACCCAGAGAAGAATTTGCATTGCACGGTCCCGAAAGCCTCGTTCTTGCTTGTCGATTCGCGCCATGGTTTCGCCATAGGCTTTGTAGAGTCGTTCCTCTACCGAAAGCTTCTTTGGTGCATTGTCCTGATGCTGCATACCTTGCAATACATCACGCACTTCTTTGGGGGTAGACTTGTCTCTGAGTGAGTCCATATATAACTGCGCCAAAAGGAACCTGGGGTAAAGTAATTAGCATGATGTTAGACGTAAGGCCATAATGAAAACTCACATTCCCCGGGCGGCTTGTGATATTGTATCTTTCACCTCTTGCTGGAGAACCTCGTTGGCACGGAGCGGTGATGATACTGGCATTTTTGAAAAGCGGCCGTCCACGTATCTCCCCAGGTCATCCTGGTTAGCAGATATTTCTACTTTGGCGGCATCGTCGAAAAATTGGTTAATGTCTGTGAGAAGTGGTCTTGAAGTGATGAATAGCTTAAGATTTGAGGAAGACTGTACAAGATTTCGAAGTCCGTCCACAAAAGCATTTCGATGGTCTTCATCATCGATCAATTCGTCAAGTGCGTCGACAACAACATAGACTCGAGTAAAGTGCTTGATGACGTCCTTCAATGCCCGAGTTACTTCCTGAAGAGATGGTCTGGTGGACTTGGATGTGTATTTCGCATGCAGTGCTCCAACACCAGGCGACAAATATTCCTTTGAGAGGCACAACTGCTTTGTGAGACTGGAAAGAAGTTCGAGAGCTGTTTGTTCGCCCTGGCGTCTGTAATCACAGTATATATAAGCAGCCTCGGTTTCGCCGGCTAGAGAATGGGAAATATTCGTTAAATCTTCGATGACGATGGAAGACAGTATTGTTTTCCCCGCCCCTGGGATGCCTTGACAGAACAGTACTTTCCGGTCCTCATCTCTCCATGTGTGGTACTCGGCCGAATTGAGGAACCACGTGCCGGTGCCTCTTTGTTGCTTATCCCGATAAAGGCTGTGTTGTGACCCAAAGTTCATCGGTGTGAGCCAGTCCAGTACGTCCAAATCTTCTCGCCGCTGCAGTCCGCGTTTAAGGTAGTTTACATTCTCCGCCGTCTCCACAACCTTCTGCTTGACTACGAAAGATGTTAGAAGTGAAAGTAAAACTTGAATTATAGGTATAAAGTAATCATGTCTCTGCACGAAAATGTGAAATAGTGGCATTATGAAAGATGCAAGGAGCAATTCAGGAGAGATGGTGCCAATGACTATGCAAGCTTCACCTTCCTGGATTGGTGATGGAGATGTAGTGGAGGATTGGAGTTCGAGCACAGTGGTGGGGGTTACTTTTCAGTATTCAAATCATATCCGCGTGAGTGGGGAAAGAAGGCATATTTAGTCCTGACGAGTATTGAAGCCAAAAACATTCAACAAGAACGGTATAACCGACCTTCTTTGATGATATCGAATGCTGCTCGCTCTCCGTTCACATCCACCGGCCGCACCACGTGTAGAAGCTCCTTAGCATAGGCAGCCGCAACAGCGGCGGCATGTCTCTGCCATCTCTTGTTTTTATGCGAGTCCGCATAATCACAAGTTCCCCGTATGACCAAACATGGGAAGTTGTTCATCAACCCAGCGGCTTCCATCTCTATACAGAGAACACGGCCACCGAATTTAGCGTTAAGCTTATCCCGAGAGAGGGCGTTCTTGATAACTTGATTCCCCGAGACTATCAATCCGTAGTGGATTCGCATCGTCCGTGCCGGTGGCTTTCTCTTGATGATCTGGGCGGAATCACAGAAGCGACAGTCACCATCGTCTTCCTCGTCGTCAAGCACATCAGATTCCACGCCTAAAGTGCAGAACTTATCCGAGTCATCTGGGCTAGGTTGAGCAAGTTGGGTGTGTGGGAGTGATTGCGGTTGCGGCTTCTCGTGTTTCCATGACCAGAGAATTAGGAGTTGAAGAAGGAATTTGAAAATCGAGGAGACTTTGAGTAAGAGTAGCCGCAGGTGAAGCCGTGATTCATCGCTGGGTGTGTGGTGGGGATATTGAGACTGGAATAGTACGTCCTTGAGAGCCTCTGACCTCAGATACCTTGAAGCCATCATCGGCGAGTTGCTCTCTAGCTGTTTAAGAAATTCAGGGATTCGGGATGGCCGCCGCTCATGTTGTGCTTTGAGATTGTTCACCGCTGTCAACAGAATATGAGGTGGCCTGTTCAATGAGCCAGTCCGTTCGAAGGATTCGTCACCCTCTCTTGATCCTTGTATTGTCTTTCCCATGTCCCACTGAACCACGCCAGGATAGTGACTTGACGGTACGGACACAACAACGTCTCCCAGACGGACTTTGGGCGGTATGCCTCCACCAACACCGACCATTAAGCCGAAGCGGATAGAGGGAAATGTAGAGAGCATTCGCTCCACAACGGTGGTTGCTGCAGTTGTGCCAATTTCTCCCATCGGGAGACAAGTGATGACAATGTTGTGTTTCGCAATTGACCCGAGGGTGTATGAATTGGTATCATTAGGTCTTTGCGTGAGAGGACCATGTTCGACGTCGAGCATCGCCGTTGCTGCTGCACCTTCATGGGCGAGTGCGCAGACCCATCCTATGGTGTAATCGCTATGGGACCTGGGGTTGTCGGTTTGTTCGGTCGCCATTTCGTGGAAGGCCGGTCGGCCGGTAGCGGAAGCGTGTTAAAGACGTAAATGAGGGAATAACCAAGAAAGAATACGTTGTGAGGATGGTTGAGGATGTAAGAGCGTGAAGGAGCCTGAACAAAAGACTTCTCAGAATCGGCGGGGTGATGAACTGAGAAAGTAACTGGAAAAGGCTCAGAGACTTCTGGAGAAGTGAGGCTCTAGCAAAAAGGGGTACGTATATCAGCCGATGCACAGCCATCAACAAGCCATCGCCACGCGTAAGCAAATTCAAGTGGATGCATACCTTGAGTGTGTGCTGCTGTCCATTCATCTCCATTCAAGGCAAACCGGCACGAATCGTTGGTGAAGCTGTCAAGTTGCTCTATGGTCGAAAGCATCAAGGAACTTGCAGCTCCCGCAGCCTGATGGCGCCCAAAGTCTGCATCTGCACAGCCATGGCGTCTAGTTCTCATCGGCACTAGACGAGCGGGCAGTGGAGGGTTCCCATTGGATACTGCCGAGGGCTGTGTCGTGGGATGAAGAAGTGAGAATGCCACGATGTAGCGCTGGTAGAGCGAATCATACCAAGCCGAATGCTATGATGATGTAGAGTAGGTTTTGACTTTGACTCGAGTCGTGTATCTTGCATGCTGATGAGCAAAAGTTGGGCAAGGAACGAAGTGGTCAACGAATTTTCATAGAAAAGTTGGAAAAGCCGGCGCTGGTGTGAAGTTGCGAGACAATGGCGATGACGGTGCCTACCTAGCTACCTTATGCAATCTGATCAGCAACTGCCTTAAAGGGTCAGGTACGTACATTCGGAGATTGGGAGTCCTAAATTCAGTTCATACCGCGTTTTTACCCACCCACGGCTTGAAGGAGCGATGAGGAGCTTGGAGCCTTCTCTCCGTATCACTCACAGTAAAGTGAGGACAGCCCACCCCCCAGGCAGGAACATTTGACGAAGAGATGAAGCCCAATAGGAAAGCGCATCTTGAAGTACTGGACTGTAGCGTACCTAAAGGCACCTTCAACCCCGGCCGTGACTGGTACCTGACGCCCCCTTCCCCGCCATTCGTCGTTGGTTGAGAAGGCAAGAGATGTGTAGCAGGGAAATCAACAAGGAGGAAACTTCATTTTAGACTCAAACATCTTCCTTTCCGGCCATTCGCCGAGGAAAGAACTCGTCTATCTGAGACAATGAAAACTCGAAACGGGAGAGGATGGAAATTAGGGGGCTGGAAAAAACTTAGCGGATGATATACCTCTACCTGTTCTTCAAGTGCTCGTTATGTCTTCCTCACACCCATCTAGTAACACAGGATCGATATCAAAGATAAAAGGGCCACCTCCTCATGTGACGACCCGAGTGGTCCTTTGCGAGAAGTCCCGCAATAATGTGAAATGCAAGCGAGCCAGCCCCTCTTCCGAGAAAAGGCGAGTGCCCTGGTATTTTCGTGCCTCCTTCCTCAACCGTCACCTCAGCCGTCCCATCACCCGGCCGTTCACCTATCCATTCCACAAGGCGCACGCTCCACTAGTAACATAAACATGGTCTCGATGTTAACCGTCTTACCGGTTCGACTTTGCTCTCATTTAGGTGAAACAAAACGTCGTGCAGAGGTAGATTGAACCTCTCTTACTCATCGGAAAGCTCTTTCTGTATAAGATCCATAAGGTCTTTGAAGGCAGTAGCGTTGGCCTCGCTCAACTATACGCGGTCCTTGTCAGCAGCTTGAGACTATTTCGGGAAGACGTTCAGACATACCTTGACCTGCACCTGTCTCGGCTCCGTGCCCTCAAACGCCGTAAACAGGACATATGCCGCCTTGAGCTTCTTAGTCACGGCGAACGTCATGGCCGGTACGATGGCCGTGTTGAGAATGACACGGAGGGTGTGGTCTTGGCGCATGACGAGACGGACACTCTTTCGGCCGCCACCGCTGCCAGCCTCTCCGTCACCGCTGTCCTCCACCAGTGCCGAGGCGTCAAAGGAAGTTGCGTCCCAGTTGCCGTTGTGATCTCGCTTGACGCTCGCTTTGGGCACATTGACCTTGAGCATGCCAGCTCCCCTCTCCTTCCAGCCGACACCCTTCTCCATAACGAAGATCTTGGCGCGCACCGCTAGTAGCGTGGCGTCCTCACCCTCGCCGTCATCGACAACGACTGATCATAGGTTAGCATTGCCGCATAGGACAAAGCGACGTAGAAATCCCAGATCATGAAACTTACCCTTGCGCAGCTTCAACTTTTTCTCTTCCTCCGCCGCAGTCCTAGCCTCATCATTCTCACCCTCCTTGTCCTCATTTGTCCCCGCGTCCTCTTTCTCGTTACCGCCCTCCTCGTCACTCTCCTCCGCGTCGCTCTCTGGCGCACCAAAAGGTTTGGCAGGCTTGCTGCTCATCAAAGTCTCACCCGGCTTTCCACCGAAACTTGTAAGCTTGGCTCCACCAAGCGCGCTGCCTCCGAAGCCGCTAGAGAACCCGCCACCAAACACAGAGGCGGAGCTGGCGCTGTTAAAGCCAGCAAATGGCGAAGGTGCCGCAGCGGAGCTGCCGAAGCTAAGTTTGGGCGGCGTGGGAGCCGCTGCTGTGGTGGAAGCGCCGAGAGTGCCAAAGGGAGAGGCAGATCCGGAGCTTGTAGAGCCGAAAAGGCTGGGGGCTGCCGAGGCGCCTAGGGCGCCAAAGGGAGAGGTTGTAGAGCTGGCAAGCTTGGCGAAACCGGACTGGGCAAAGGCGGAGGATGATGTCTGGGGCTTTTCTTCGCTCGTGGGCTTAATCTCTGCCGCTGACTCGGCGGGCTTCGAAGGAATCTCGGTCGTGGTTGTCTCGACGGATACTGAGGAAGTAGTCTCCTGGCGACCACAGGGTTAGTCGAGAGCCCCAAATAGCATGTGTCGGCGAACTGTCCCACCTTTACTCCATCGTCCGACGCGGATGCCTCGTCACGGGCGCGCTTCTTCTCCGGCTCGGACCTGTCTGTCCTACTTTGGGTCGCGGTGGGCTTGGCCTCCTCTGTGGAAGGCTGGTCCCCGGATTGAGCGTCGATGGCGTCCTTGCTCTCTTCAAGCTCGTCGTGTGCTCGCTTCTTCTTGGGAGACGAAACCTGCTCCTTCATTTCGGTGTCCTTATCGTCACCAATTGCAGGCTCTGGGGTGGCCTTCCTTGAGCCGGCTGTAGGGGTGCCATTGTCTGATCCGCTATCTTGGGCTGCGGCGGCGCTTTGCTCGGAGATGGATGTGTGCTTGAGTTCGCGGCGGGCGGCCGTGGTCTCGGCGTCTTCCTTAGCGACTGGCGCGATGACGGGGTCCGCGGTGTCGGTTTGTTGGTTTTGCGTCGGGTCGGCCATGATGTCAGAGGGTCTGATGGATCGCGAGATTGGTGATGTGGTCGTCAAGTGAGGAGGACCAATCGCCAAGCACACGATTGATGCTGTCTCGCGAGATTGGTGTTGCAGAGCGTACTGTACCGGGTGGGCTTGACGCGGGCGGTAGAGATCAGATACAATAGAGTAGCAAGGAACAGAAACGAAAAAGATCTCTGTTCAGTTTCGAAAGAATTTAGCAATAAGTACCAGACAAGAGCAAGAGCAGCGGAAGAAAAGTGGCAGAGACGGAGTTTGGTGCCAAGCGCATCTGAAATCGAACGTCTTCTCGAAAATGGGGTTAACCCAGGCTCAGCGGGGGCGGGTGGGTGGAAGTGGAAGTGGAGATTACCATACTTAGCTACCTAGCATGGACAGGGCGCGGCGGGCAGTTGGGGCCCTCCGCGCGCTTCGCTACAGTGGTTGGTCACAATGTTTAATTCCACAACGGGCAGCTATGGAAGTTGTGACGGGTTCAGATTGCCCGGACTTGCGCAATACAACCGGGCTGGAACCTGACTGGGAGCTCAACCGACCTGACAGAGATACGCTGCTCCAATACCTACATTGTCGACTTCCACAGGCAATACTTCTTCGCTTCGCTACTAGGTGAATGAGCAGGGATCTGGACAATCCAACGTGGTCGCAAGGCCATCAAGCTTCCTGTCATCAGCCCGTTTCGTGACCAAACAATGTTTCGATCCATCGCCACCACGGTCTAGAGCAGGATGGAATAGCTAATGTTGGGTGGAAACAGAAGCATCACCAAGTGGTCCAGTCAGAACTCAACCTCAATGCAAGCATCACTCTGCGTTGAGCGGAAACGCGGCGCGCCTCGGCACCTGCCATACAGCTGCGGGGAACCCTCTATCACGTCAAACAGTCAGTGCAGTGACACTGGACATTGACAGGGCAGAGGGATCCAATTATCATAACAGCACTCCCGTCCTAGTCAAAATAGTTGAGACTGACATTATATTATACCTTGGGTATACTCCTACTATGTTTGTAGCTGATCTTAACTTCTAGACAATTCCTGGATAGAAATATCCAAATGAAACCCTAGCCACTGTCTTTTCGAATTGTTGTAATCCCCATCACGGTTTTGCAACCGACCAGTCTCCCCTAACTCAAACGACCGGTATTGTATTGCAAAGAAGTCATCGATTTTGTCATGGACGAGGCACTGTACCTGAGATGGGATGCTGAGAGCCATTCCTCGATCCCTTCTATCACAAGGGAAAGCCCGATGGCTTTACAGAAACCACAGTGATTCCGATCAAAGCGGTGATGTGGCAGAACGAACATCTCGAGGTTCCCGCCTATGGATCAAACCGATTGACCCCCACACAAGCCGTCTCTGAGACCACGATTCTCATCCACTCTAGCCATCTCGGAATAGCGCCAAGCACCGGACCAAATATTGACTTCCGGATCACAGGTTACCACAGCAACCGCCCTCGCTGGTGGGTCAAGGCACGTTTGGAATTGAAAGCCGCGACACAAGTCATGCATATGTAGGTATATACCCTTCTGGAAGATGAAGCAGCACCGACCTCACGTTGCTGCATATGAGAAGCGCATCGCTTAATGTCCTATCCGCCCCAGCATTATTTCCCCAGCACTCACTACAGTCATTAAGCATTGAGATAGGTACCCCAACCCATCATTACCCCCGAAGAACCCCGCGACCCAAGAAAGCGCCTCTTTGTTACCGTCGACTTCTCAGATATTCCTCATACCGAGGTGGTAATAACCCTTCGTCATCAACAACACCCCTCAGCCCTACCACTTCACCATAACTCGGCGGTGGAGGCGTCCCAGGTGACTGCCGCCTGGCATTTACCGGCAGAGCCGCCTGAGGCCTTGGAGCCGCTTCTCGCCTTGCCCCAGCCCGAATCATATCCTCCACCAGATTCGCAGCCCTCATGAACGAGGCCAGCTCACCGCCAATGGACAAGTCATCATCGCTATCCTCTCCACCGCTGTCTTCGCCACTGCTCTCCCCAACTTCATCACCGCGCTCCTTCTCCCGCTCGTCTTCCGAGTCAACCAACGTTTCCTTCTCATCCCAAATCCTCTCATCATCAATAACGACTTGCTCAACAGGCTCATGTACCGTCTGGAGTTCCGACCCAGGTTCATACCTCAACGCAAACCCATCCTCCGGCACCGCATGGTACTCGCAGTACCGCTGGTACTCCCTTTCTGATAGCCTCTTTTTCTCCTGTCTCTCCTGTTTCTCCTGTTCCTCCATACACAGCTCTGACATCCCTTCCTTCTTCTCCTCCAACGACCCCCTCTTCTCGGCCATTTCATCATTATCACCCTCACCTTCAAATTCCCCAGTCCCGATCAGAGTCCCAGATTCATCTCGAGCTTGCAGCTGAGCAAAATATCTAGCCTTGCACTCTCCACAGCTTTCATCACTGCCGTAAAATCCGGGACAAAGTGATTCTATCCCGACAGGCTCTCCCGCGCCACTTCCTTGGGCCAATCTTTTTCTTCGGCTGCGTACCCGATGGAGAGAGTGAAAAAAGCAGGCCAATATGAGGAGGGAGAGGAAGATGATGTAGGCGGCGAGGCGGATGGGCGAGAGATTGATCAGGTGCGCGTAAATAGAGGCGCGGAGGGAAGAAGGGCGGGAATTCAGGGTGGTTTGGTGGGCTGATCCGGGGCTTGAGTCCAAGAGCAAATCTGGGAATGGCAGACGAGCTGGTTTAGCTGGTCTATGATGCGGGAGTTCCCATGGCGGATGAGCAGACGGGCCTGGGGTGCTGGTGTCATTCGCTCTCGGCGGTAGGTTTGCGCAAAGCGTTTCAAAGTGCTGTCTCCTCTCCTCGTAGTACTTCCTGTTCATGACCACCGGCTTTTGCGCATAGCCAGATCCAGCCACACCGGTACTGTCCCTTTCCTCAGCAGTAGCAATGCTTTTCTGATACTCCAAACACTTCACCTCCCTCTCGAATTCCTTCCTCTCCCTCTTCAATCTCTCCTCCCTACTTTCTCTTTTTCCCTCCGTCGTCCCCATCATGCTCGCCTCTGTGTCTGCCTTCTCGTTTTCATCATCGAAAACAACCTCCCATCCCCCTGTCTTCCCCCGGACATCTCGAATCCTCGCATCAACACACCACCCCGCCACTCCAAACGCCCAGACTGGTTCCTCCTGTCTGAACCAGATCGTACAACTCAACTCTTCCTTCACAGGCTGTCCATCGACGGCTTGTAGTGTGAGGGTAACGGATTGTGATCGTTGGGATTTCGCATCAACCCCCTTGTTGTTGTTTTCAGGATCACCGTTAGGAAGGGAATCGTCGCCGCCGCCAGGGAAGCAACGCGATTCCCAAGAAAGATGCACATTGATATCGTTATCCAGCACAAACGACCCGTCTTCGTTCGGTGGAGAAAGCAAAGGTTGGTTGTTGATGGTGATGTTGGGGGAGGCGCAACTGTCATCGCTGCCGATGGGGAGATTGGTGACAGAGGGGTTGACATCGAGGCGGAAACCCTGTGTTGATCACCTCTAGTCAGCCAAACACGCATGGAGCTAAAAGAAAAGAGAAAAGTTGAGGTATGGGGATAAGGAAGAAGCGATAAAACTAGCAAAGGAAAAAGAAAGGTAAACAAGATGAAATACAACAACATACCAGATCCTGACCATAACCATAAGACCGCGGAGTGGGGTGCATAAACTGTATATACAGTGACTGCGGGTTGGGAACAGTTGCTGCTGCTGGTGCTACTGGGGCGACATCTAAAGGGTGATCAGTGAGTCAATCCATCTTACCAACACCACTCAGTTAATCTCAAATGTAGGTAGGTAAAGTTTCACATACCCTCTAGTCCCAAAACCACATGTCCATAAGCCAGCGCGAACAACGCCGCCGTGTGCTTTGAGCCATGCATCGCTTTGGTGATGCTACGGCTGAGTGTCCAACGCCGAAGAGGAAGGTCGGGTGTGGTCGCGAACTGCACTGGAGTCCAGTGGTGCTTGGTTGGTACGGTGGCCTAAATTCGCCTTGACTGACCCGATTGACCTTGACCCCGGCGCGGCGCGGCGCGGAACGCTGTGAATGAATGGCACGAGACGTCTACCGCCAATGTACCGATTGCCGTGCGACGCCGAACCGAACCGATTAGATGCCTGGGTCCCGGATGTCGTAGGCTCGTACGGTAGGCAGGTGAGAATAGGCTTCCAACGAACCGAACGACGACGATGACGACGGGGAACGAAAGTGGCGATGCACCGTCCGTCTCCAGCGGTTCTCCAGTTTCGTGGGGTGTTGTTGGCCCAGTCAAGTCAAGTCCAGTCCAGCGTTGTCGTCACCTGGTGGAAAGTGGAAATCCTCAAAGTCCTGGCCCAACAAACAAACGGTTGCCTGACCTCTCTCGTCGTCTGAGTCACAAGAAGTCACAAGCAGAAGAGTAGTCCAAGTGGAAGTAAGTAAAAAAGATAAAAAGGACAGATGGCCCCCCGCCCCTCTCCAGACAAGACAACACGGTTTTCTCAACACCTACCATCTCCGAAGAAAACAATACCACTGAACCCCTCATGATCACCAGGCAGCCGTTTAGTTCTACCCTAGTTTGGTTCACCGAGAGGCCGCCGGGCTGACTTGAGTAACCAACCAATTAGCTTACACGGAACCGAGCCGAAAAGAAGAAAGGAAAAAAAAAAAAGTGGGAAGCTTACGACGGCGTCGCTTAGCTCGCTTAGCTTAGCTCGGTCTGGGGGAGGGGTTTCAGTTGAAGACGAAGGTGAGGTGAGGGGCACACCACCTAAAGATGACAGCATCACTTTTGTTTCTGACAAGGTACCTCTAAGAACTGTAAGGTTGAAGGTGAGGTTGGTGAGTAAGATACAAAATTAAGAGGTGGGTTGGGTAGGTTGGTTTTAGTTTTTGTACATTAGGTAGGTATGATGATCAAGTACATTGAAAATGTTATCATGTCTCTTGTTTAAGTGGCATCTTGTGTTTATAAATGGTCTCGATGGATTAACGATAGTAAGTGGAGAAGATACTTGTCTACTGTAACGAGACATGCACCGCGAGATAAAAGATGGTTTACCTAAGAATATAAGTCATACAATCCTTTTCTTTGGGTCAGAGTGACATCAGAAAGTGAGGAAAACCGGCTGTGATGACCAAGGTGGGAGAAAAGACAAAATCATCGCAAGCAAGGCTAGAAAGCAGCGACCAAACAAGCAGATAACGAGCACCAGAGCAAGAATAAAGAAACAACAGCTATAACACAAGCCCTGAAACGTCATTTTGCACTGTTGTGCAATTCTTGCTCTGTAACGCAACCTCTTCTTATCCATTTGATCCAGTTAACTTCCCAGTCTCATTGATCTGTCTAGTGGCGTTGAGAACCATTTTTGGTTTATTCACCAAAAGCCTGAAAGCCCAATCATGATGAACCGACGATCCATGTGTCTGTTCCCTTTGCCTTCGTTGTATGTGTATTTGAGCCGATTCTTCAATACATAATTATACAATCGAGCCACCCACAATTCCACATGCCATGACCGCTCCTACCAGGCTCAGCGTCTGCGCTCCCTATCCCGATCCGCCCCGGAGCCAGAACCGGAAGAACCACGGCCGAAGTGGTCCCTAAGCCACCCTAGCGCGCCATTACCAGAACTCGAACTCTGCTGCTGCTGCTGCTGCTGCTGCTGTTGATTTGGCTGTTGCTGTCCGTCTCGATCCCGTGAATTTCCCTCCCCGTTGTTACCGTTATTGCGTCCCCAGAGGTTGTTCAATCCACCGCTGTACCTGCTGCTAATGTTGCTCTGAGAATTACTGCTCGTATTCGGCTGCCAGGCCGTCGAGGTGCCCCTATCCCTTGGTGGCGACGGGTCCCTATCGCGCGATCGCATGTCAAAACGTGAGTTCTCACGGCTGGGAGGCGAGTGTGAAGTTCGGCGGGAGATTCCCTCGGATTGAGAGTCGGTACGTCTAACACCGGCCACGTTACGGATCCGCTCGAGGCGCTCTTCTCTCTCCTGCTCGCTGCGCCGAAGTCGCTCTCTGGCCGATTGGGCTTGTGATCCAAAGGGGTTAAGTGATTCAAAGGGGTTTCTTCCTGGTGCGGATGTGGACGCGAAGGCTGATGCAGAGTTGGTACTTGCTTCTTGGCGTGATGCGGACGATGGGCTGTTATTGTTATTGTTGTTGTTGCTGTTGCTCCCGGATGGGCTGTTGCCCTCGATCGGCATTCGGCAGATAGGGCACGTGTTGTGCTCCTTAAGCCATAAAGTGACGCATTCCCCATGGAACCAATGCTTACACGGTAGCACCGTGACCTCTTCGCCCTTGTACATGTCGTCGATGCAAATGGTACATTCGGCTTTGCCCTCGGGGCCGACCATCTGCTCGTCGAGGATCTTTTTGGGTAATTTCTCAATAGCGGCTTGCGTTGCTGGAGGAGCCGCATTGGACTGCGGGTTAGCTTCCATGAGGGTCGTTATGATGCGGTCGAGTGCTTCCTGGGTATACACGGCATCGCCATGGACTGCCGCCTGTGGGTTCAGCAATGTAGCGATAAAGTCCTGCAGGCCAGTGGCAAACCCAAGAGGAGGCCCTCGTGGACCACCGCCCTGGCCCTGGCCGCCACCGGGGTCTTCCGCGCCCGGCGGCGGGATGTTGCCAAAGAGACCCCTAAACAGACTGCCATCACCGTTCGAGTTAGCCCTCCTATTAGTCACAACAATGATTGTGTGTCTGCGAATTCCAGGGAAACCATTGCCATGTCGCGAGCGAACATACGTGTCAAAAGCGGGCACTTCCGGCCCGTCTCCCGCTGGGCCTCCTGTAGTTGTCGTGGTCGTGAAGGTAAAGCTAGCCATGCCGTCTCCTGCTCTGGTAAAAGTCGTACGCTGTATCCGCGGCTGTGTCCCAAAGGCGTTTTCCCCTTGCTGTCCCGGCCTTGCGCCGCTTAACTCGACAAACATATCGGCGAATCGCGACAAAACGGCCTCGCCAGGATCATCTGGACGGGCACGCGGCCGGTCCGGACTGCTATCAAGATCCTCAAGACCGTTCCCACTTGAACGGTTGAAGGGACTATCTGGCGATTGGTACACCGATCGTCGCATGAAGAAGGACCCGGGGCCACGCTCGAGGAACTGCTCTATGTCATCTTCCTCCGGGTCCGAGTCTGAACGGTGACCTTGTTGTTGAACACCTGGTCGGGGATCGTTGTCCGGTTCGACCTGTACAAAGGTTAGCGTGGCGATAGCTGGACGGTAGATGGGAGAACCCACAATCTGGACGAAATCATTGTGACACCTGGGGCATTCTAGGTCCAGATGGGGGTAATCGTCGCGATACCACTCGTTTTCGCAGCCATAGCAGTAGACGACTTCTCTACCCGTTGTCGCATCAAGATGCCTCGGGGGAAATCCGGGAGAGGCCATCGCCGTCGGTCGGCCCAGCAGCCTTTGGGTTGCGTTGTAAGCAGCAAAGGCGGCGAGCCCTAACTGGACGGTGAGGCCGATGGTTTGGAGCGCTCCTCGCAAGGCCAGTTTGATGTTTGATACCGGGGTCGGCGAGTGTTTCGAATGACGGAGGGGAGATCTCCAAGTATTATACAGTCGGCTTCGGAATTCAAGAAGCCCGCGCGTGATATGGCGAGGATACTAATTGTAGGTGAAGGTCTGGTACTTGAAATTGTACTAGGTGATGTAGGTTGTTTGAGTGAAGTGAAGTGGCTGCCCCACTATGATGGAGTCGACGTTCTTGATGCAGCTGCTGTGATCTACAGCGTTGGCGTCCTATCCAAGGATTCGCAGCGGCGACGGCATCAAGGGGATGGAGCAGTCGCGCGGCACAACTTTAATGGACAGATATCGGATCTTGCTCGCCGTCAAGGGGAATGTTTCGTCGTTCGAGGTCGTCGGCTTTTTTGTGGCGAGTATTCTAGTGTTGGGAGAAAACCGAAGGAAATGGATGGCACAAAGGTCGGTTTGTTGGAGAAGGTTCAGCCGTTTGCTAGATCGATGTAGGTGGTGTCTGTACCTGCCTCCCTGCCTTGAAGGTTGCGCTGAGGTAGGATCCGACCGAGCAATAAAAGAGGGAGTGAACGGTGCCGTGACTGGATGACAGCCATCCCATTGGACCCTGGACATCGCTGTAACCGCTGTATTTGGTTAGGCCTCGGAAAGTCGGCGCAGGCCGGGCATGCGTCACAGCGTTACCTCTGCGTACGGTAATTTGATTCCAGGATGTATAATGGATCCTAGTAATTACCTAATTGTTCTTTTCCCTTCTTATACTCGCCACGGGTCATTATGGCCCTCACTTTGTTCGTCCCTTTGTATGGTTGACTGATGTATCTGTCCGACGTTGATGCTCAAACATCCTGGATACATTAGCATGTTACAAGTTGTCCTTTTCCATAAGTTTTCATCCACGATCCGTGAATCATGAATCGGATGGGGTTCAAGGTTGAATATTGCAAAGTTTCATGTCACATGGATACTGCATTTCTTAACGGCCTGATGAGGGGAAGAATTGAAGTCTGCCCTGGGCCTCATTAGGTGCAGCACTGAGAAGCCTAAAGGACCCAATCTAGCATGTCGCAGGTCGTTAACGGGAGTGGTGAGCCAATGTGTCGGCGTCGAGCTGCAGCCTGACCCTGAGACAAATGGTCCCGCATGCAGGAAAGTGGGCTATGACCGGGGCAAGGCACGGCAAGGCACACATCTTTGAGGAGCAACAATGGTAGGGTACGGTGTTGGGTCTGTCTATTGATATATGGTTTAGTAACATGATTGATACCTCTAACGCTACAACATGGTTTTTGGAATGACAATGTGATACCAAGGCTTTCTAACATAAACAAAGCGAGAGGTACAGTAACACTGTCGCAGGGTCTAAGCCTTCAAAGAGGAGCACCTCTGCGTTGACTGTTGTCACACCTGGCAGTTCTTCAAGGCTAGCGCCAAGAACTAACACGACGTCTTCGAGCATCCAATCTCTGGGATCGCTTCTAGATGCAGTAACCAAAGTCCACGCCGTCAAATAAAGCGAATGTAGGGCGTGAGCCGAGTTCGATTCAAGAAAGAGCATCTCCAGAGATGGAGTCTAACAAGCCAACAACAATCCAAGATAGGTAGTTGGGGGAAGTGGGGGATGTGAACCCAATAACCCATGTCTTATAGAAAGGAATGTCTGTAATCCAGTCATCGGAAGTTTAAAGAAGGAAAAGAGGATTCAGCTCGTCAAATCATAGCCCATAATATACACACCGGACGCTGTTGTCCCATATCGTCATCAAGGAGCGGCCTTTTCTGCCCTTTCACCTTGTGCCATATGTCATCATCCATCAGGCGACCGGCTCACCCTCCTACCCACTACCTCTTGCGGCCCAAGTTCCTGAGCAAAACGCCTCCTATGACACCGGCGGCAACCGCCACACCACTAATGATGGCCACGCCCATCAAGCCCTCCTTGGTCACCTTGTCGTCAATCAGGGTTCGGAGGTTGGCGGCCTGGAGGTTTGCCGGCTCGTTTTCTAGGAGGGCGTCGTTGTATTTCCTCGCTTGCGCGTAGTTACCGAGCTTGTAGTTGCCGAGGGCGAGGTAGTATAGGCATTCGCGGCGGCGCTCGGGGGATGTTCGGAAGATTTCTGATAGCAGCATGACGCCGAGGTGTTGGTCGGCTCGTACGTTGGACTTTACTAGGCCCTGTAGCATTTCGAAACAAATATATTTAGTGTATGTTTTTTTTTTTTCCGACGGGAATCAAGGGTGTTGGTTTCGTACCCATGCGTAGTTGAACTTGGTCTGGACGCCAACCATCTCTCCCTCCTTCTCATATTGCGCCCGGAGAACGTTGAGCTCGGCGGGGTTGAGCGGACTGCATCGGTATCGTCGTTGGTTAGATGACTCGGCGATCCTGGGGCGATTGTGCAACTCGGGGACTCACGTTTCCGCATCCACTGCATCTGTAACCACGGTTAGTTGTTAGCTACCTCTGCCAAGCTTGAAGAACAATAAAAACGAGTCCCATGAGCTGACCACCACCTACAGGGAAGTTGTGTCATTTTGGCGAGCTGGGGGTATTTGGTTGAAGAAACAAGAAAACTGGTATCCTGAATAGAGGTGGGTAGATGGTCGTAAATTGTGCGGCAGCGGGCGACTCTGGTATCTCGGGTTTGTAGGTAGTAGGTAGTGGTGTGAGAGGTGGACAGCAAGGTTCTGGAATTACCAGGTTAATCATAGCTGAGTGCCGCCAGTAGTTTTATCGCGTGGCTGGAGCTCTGTTCAATGTGCCACCGATGACGAAGGACACTGGGGACACCCACTGCAGCATGCCCGATCCTTGACCGGTGATTGCCCGAGGTCCCCATGTAAATCTGCGATAAGATAAGGGAATGTCCCACTTCCTGTTGCGGCTCCTGTCCCGCTACCTAAGGTCCCGTCGTCGCCCAGGATGAATGGGTCCCGCTATTGTTTAGTTTGGGACTCGACAATTGCGACACAACAACAAACCATTCGCGACCTCGAGTTCGTTCGCGAACAAACACTTTTCTACAACAACAGAAAACGAGCACACTTTTACCGTCACGGAACTCATAAAATCAACTCGATCGCAGAAGCAAACATTTACATTTACCCCGAAAAAAAACAGAACACCAACCTCAAGTCAGACAAAAATCCGCCAAAATGCTTCTCGAAGAAGACCCCTCCACCGTAAGCTCCCCCTTCATTCTACATCCCTCCAACCTACCAACAAACCCCCTCTCTTTGACTCCCTCTGTTCCCATCCCCTCTATCAATAAACCACTAACCCCCTTTTAGCTAATCGCCCACACGACCCAAAACTTCAACATCACGCCCGACCGGCACGCCGTCTCGCGCGTCGCCGAATCCTTGTCCACGCTGCAACAAGCGCGCGACCTCCGCCTGCGCGAATCCGAAACCAACCTCAAGAAACTCGCGCGCACCCTTAACACCTTACAGTCCCAACACCAAGAAGTCACTTCCTCGCACAGTTCCGCCGAGCACGCCTCGTTGATCTCCCGTCTCGACACGCAAAAGTTCCGCGTGGCGAAAAATGTATCGGACCTGGAAATGGAGACGGAACGACTACAGACGCAGTTGGCGGAGTTGCAGGCGCGGTTGCAGGAGTTGGAGTTGCAGGGGGTTGATGGTGATGCTGGTGCTTCCACTAGTACAACAACGGGAGAAAATGGGAACGGCAGTGGGAATGGGGGCCAGGTCAGGAGCGTGGAGGATGAGGTGTTGTTGAGGTTGAAGGTGTATAGGAGTTTGGGAATCGAGATTGAGAGGGAGGAACAGGATGGGGAGTTTACGAGGGCGGTGGTGCGGAATGATAGGCGGGGGGATGTGTGCGTGGTTAATGTGGACCGGCATCGGTTTTCGAGGTTCTTTTATGCCAATTATTTTTGGCAGACGCTTTAGGAGCGGTTGCTTGGGGGGTAATGAGAGGCGATTTGGGGTGGAATATGATGGGAAGGTTGGGCTAGGATGAGGTTACGGACGGTTATGAAAGGGATATGATGCATGGATGGATGGGATCGGCGTCTGGAGGAGTTTGGGTGGGAATAATACCATGTCATTATTTTGTTGTTTTGAAACAGGTCGGATTTCGTAGCGTGATCATATTGAAGTATGTTCTGCTTTATTGTCGCTTTTCGCTAATACCCAGCCTTGTTCTATCCTTGTAACTTGTCATAACGGTGTCTGTATCTGTTGAAAAGAAAAGAAAAAAAGGCGACCCTGATTACGTATTCCGTCATTGTCCAGATCAACGAAATTGAACAAACAGGACACGATGATTATTCAAGCCATGGGCCTCCACTTCCCTTTCTGAGAAGTGAAACCAGCAAAGTACTCTTGCTCCTTCTCCCACATCCCCATCGGCGACACCCCGTTTCCATTACGGTGATTGTTCCTCCTATCCCCCGGCGGCAGCGCCATCTTCGAAATGCTCCCAAAAGCGCTCTTATTCGCCCTGGCGCCCGTACCATGCCAATTCGTTTGCGCCTCGGCACAGTGTCCCGATCCAGCTGTGCCATTTCCATTTCTCAAAGTCCCCTTTCTACCATTAGTACTTGCCCCCATCCAACCCGCCTCCAACGATTGCGACGGCCCAGCACTATGCGATCGATGGCTCAGACTGTGGTGGTACCGACCCACAAAGCTGGAGCACCTTTCCATCGGCAGTTCCAGGCGTGAGTTAATGTTCTGCCAGGCGTCGTCGTCGTCGTTGCTGTCGTTCAGTCTCCACCCACCTACTCCTTCAAAGTCTCGCTGGATACCGACCGAGGGAGCCAGCCCGCCGGTCTCGGGCAGAGGGGGGGCCATCTCGGCGTCTTCCCGGATGGAGGCGATGGTAGGAGAGATGGATGCTTGACTAGAGCGGCGAGAGCGACGAACGGTGCCAAAGCCGTAGCTGCTCTTACGGCGGAGGGGACTCCGTTGGTGGGAGTCGTAACCGTTGTGGTAGTAAGGGGAGGGGGAGACGACGGCTAAGGGCGAGTTGTCCTCGCTGTCCTCGGCTCTGTTTCCGACGCTGCCTGTGCTACTAGAGGATAGACGGCGTGGAGTAAGAAGTTCGCCGTCAGTGATGCTATGGTAGTGACGGCCTTTGATGAACTGGGGGACGAATGCCATGGCTATGTCGACGTAGACGATGGCGACGCGGAACATGAGCAGAGAGAAGGCGAGGGCGGAGGTGATACTAGCGAAGATGGCCATGGGAATGGTGAAGAGGCAGAGGAAGGGGACAACGAGTCCATGGACGGGGTTGAGAAAGGCCATGGTGTCTGTGGGTGTCTGTTTTCGGCCTGTGGCAACAGATGATGTTGAGAATGTCGAAACCCTGGGGTGAAGGCCTCGGTTTTCTGGTTTGCGTTTTGACGGCGAGTTGGAGAGTGTGGTGGGGGGTCTGTGAAGCTGTATAAGGTATGCAGCTTATTGGATTTTCTTGCAGGCGAGGGGCACTTCTGCCGCTGAGACCAACATGCCGTGCGTGCGCTTGGAGCACAGTTCCCTTGGTTATCTTGTTCACTGACCCGAGGTTGTGGCACTGAACTAGTACAGTTTGAGTTTACGACATGATAAGAGTTTGTTATTTGGGAGAAATTCTCTCTAGGCTCCGAGGGCCATGACGGATGTGAAGTGTAACTTGAAGTGCGCAAGACGGGGAAATGGGGAGTGAACCGGGAAAAAGCAAGGGGGACTTGAGCCGTTTGGAAACAGGGATCGGTCGGAGCTTAAAAGCTGGGGAAGCAGTTTCAGGGTCCACTACGCCCGCTTTGACACTTCGGCAGGCGCCGAATGAGCAACCAGATCATCACAAGGGGCCGTTCTTAGCGGGCCGTGAACACCTCCAGCAGTTGACGTGCCCCGGAACATGAGGTCTTGGCAGCCATTCCCTTACGTTTTCGATCCGCTCCTGCAAGAATCTGGACACCACCAAGAACGATGCCCCCTCTTTCCACTTGTCGTTCCATGAGATGATCGAGATTCCTAAATGTACCTCTACATGTTCACCGGTCCCTTTGTGTCACTCAACCGACGTACAACCGGACTGAGGAAGCCCCGCGATCGTCCCATCGCTTCGTCTTATCAGCCCATCGGCATGGGTGTCAAAGCTGAGCCGAAGTTCAACCATCAATGAAGTCAACATGACACCAAGTCCAAAGATAAGGTTGGACGGGGAAAACCTAGTCCTCGACAACCTTCAATCGACCTTGATAAAGATGCCGGTTCGCGTGGCCCTTGCAGCCAGGATTCTCAGACATTTCCATGTTGCGAGTGTTTGTTATCTACGCATGAGCCTCCGCTATCTAGTAGTCTACACCATATTTTTATTCAAAGGCAAGGGGCGAGTTTCCCATAAGGGTGCCAAGACTGGGCATTTTCAATTGTATCGTCAAGTTGAGGCTGTGTTGGGAGGGCAAGGATGATACTCTGTGGACAGGGAATAGCTTCCCCACATGCATCTCCAACTGACATCATCCGTTGGAGGAGGCGTTCCTGAAGGCTGACAGGATGGCAGAATGGGTGAACGGGCCGTGGAGTTGACTTTTGCATCCGCGATTTTCCACATGAATATATCGAACATAAATATTAACTGTGTTTCAACATCATCCCAACTTTACTGCCATTAATTCTCCCACAGTGTCAATAATCGCCACTACGGCACTCTCCATATCATCTCAGGGCACAGCAGCCATGTGTTCCCCCACCGGCGAATCAATACCTCATGAAGTTCCCAAAAGAGGCGATGATGGAGCTCCTAAAGAGTCCTTCCCATGGCACATTGGTGTCTACGACGCCCACTGTCATCCCACCGACACCATGGCCTCCATCTCCAGCATTACGAACATGCAAGCTCGACTTCTCACCATCATGGCCACACGCGGTCAGGACCAAGACCTCGTCGCCTCCGTAGCCGAGCAGCATGGCATCACAGACTTGAACGAGCTACGCGAAAGTGGTTCATCCGAAACCCCCAAGAAGGTCGTCCCAGCGTTCGGCTGGCACCCCTGGTTCTCTCACCAGCTCTACGATGACTCCAACGACGACGAACAAGAAGAAGAGGTCACGGATGTACCGGCGCACAACAAAAAAACCAAGCACTACTCTACCGTTTTATCGCCCCCTCCCGATGCCAATTTCATCGCTTCTCTCCCCGATCCCATTCCTCTCAGCAAGTTTCTCCAAGAAACCCGCCAACGCCTGCTCGCCCACCCCACAGCCCTGGTCGGCGAAATCGGCCTTGACAAAGCCTTCCGTCTTCCCTGGGGCAAAGTGATTGAGTCGTCCTCCTCGCGCAACGGCGACCTAACACCGGGCGGTAGAGAAGGACGGATGCTCAGTCCTTACCACGTCAAGATGGCGCACCAGGTTGACGTTCTCAAAGCCCAACTTTGCCTGGCAGGCGAATTGGGTCGTCCCGTCTCTTTACACGGCGTGCAAGCTCACGGCGTGTTATTCGATGCCTTGGCTTCGCTGTGGAAGGGACATGAGAAGGAGGTGGTCTCGCGGAAGAAGCAGAAGATGATTGCCAAGGGCGTGTCGGAGGATTTTTCCTCCTCGTCTAGTGATGAGGAGGAGGAGGAGGACGAGTTTGACGACTTGGAATTTGGGCTTGTGGGGGAGCCCAAGCAACAACAACAACAACAACAACAACACAAGGCCAAGAAGTCCAAGAAGCCGTACAAACCGAAACCGAAACCGTTCCCGCCGAGGGCGTGTCTACATTCCTTCAGCGGGCCGCCGCAGGTGTTGAAGCAGTATTTGGATCCCAAGATCCCGGTCAAGTGCTACTTTTCGTTTTCCATGGTGGTTAATCTGGGGACGGCGGGCGGAGAGGCCAAGTTTGCGGATGTGATTCGGGCGTGTCCGGATGGACAGGTGCTGGTGGAGAGCGATTTGCATGTGGCGGGCGAGGATATGGATGGGTATTTGGAGGATGTTGCGAGGAGGATATGTGAGATAAAGGGGTGGGGGTTGGAGGAGGGGATGCAGAGGATAAGGAGGAATTATGAAGAGTTTTTGTTTGGTTGAGTGTTGAGCCTTCAGTGTAGAAGACGGTAGACTAAAACTAGATAGATGGAGTTATTTGGTAGACGCGTAAGCATCTTTGGAAGCGAGACAACCTCTTTCTCTCAGCCCTTGGTGTCTTTTTTTTTTTTTTTTTTTTTTTTTTTTTTTTTTCTCCCCTTGAATGCATGCCACCGCCGGCATCAGTCAATTGCCCCCCGGTCCAGCTGAGGATCCAACTGATGAAACCTCAAGGGTGCCTTCTGGGGTAGCCCTTTGGTGCCTGTTGATCAACGGCACTAACATTTTTTGCGCTCTTACCCTGGAACGTGCGTTAGCGAGACTTCACCACACACTAGACTACCAGACTACGCCTTCTGCCCAACTCGACAAGTATTAAACTGTGTAACACTAAATGAGATCTTCGCTTTTTCCTTCCCGAACCGGAACTGAGACGTTCGCGTTCGCAAGCATCCCCTCTCATGTCACGCATTTTTGTTGGCTTTTGTCAGCTCAGCTATCTCCGAGGCGGGACCGGTGTGTCTGACAGTGCAGTCAGTGTCTGCCACAACGAGCAGCTGCGAGGCCAGAAGTTGCAATTTTGCTGGGGTTTCTTTACGGGCTTCTTCAAAGTTCTTCCTCATAACCAGGCACCAACACCAAGAAACAACGAGTTGTCACCGGTTCAAGCCGGCAGGCCTGTATGGAAGTGGATTGCATGGCACGCCTGTCTGTGAGACACTGCACTTTCGGTGTAGATTTAGCGCCTATCAAACGTTCTGGACGGATGATTGTCTCAGGGTGCCGATCTCGCTGGGACAACGGTCGAAACATCAACCACTGTTATCTTTGAGGTGTAGGTAAACTATTTAAAGAGGAGAGAGACACTGAATGATATTGAACTTGGCAAGGTTAGTGAGAAGACCAGGTGCCGGAGTGTTGCTCATCCGGGAGGTGTTGAGAGACTCTACTCGACAGTTTTCAACACACAGGAGTTGTTGCGATTCGCTCTTGACGGAGTTGTGATCAAGCCAGAAATAGTCTTTGCAATTCTTATCAACAGTGAGAAAGAGGTGTCGATAACCACAAGGGTGATTAGATTTGCAGTGAAGCGAGGAACCCACCGAGAGTGCCGGTCCGGGACCGACTTATATCAATACGTATCCGCCATTTGTTAACAGCTACACTAGAAGACTACTGATTGTGGAAAGGCTCCCAGTCGCCGCCGTTTGGATGTGTCCATTCATTCAGTCTTTGTCAGCCACCGCATTCACATCACTCCATGTTCCCTGTGTTCTATCCGCAACGAACTACCGCAGCCGGGTATCTCCCTTTTCCCCTCATTTCGACTGTGGTTCTGGACCTGATTCCTCCACTTGGACCACAGTGAGGCTGTGAACAAGCTTTTTGAAAATAAGGACGGGGAAATCGGGAAGGATTTTTAGTCGAGTCATTTTCCCCCTCCACTTGTCCAACACCGCCCACTTTGCTTGGCTTTTCCACTTTCCTCTGCTTTTCACTTCATTCCCGTCTTTATTTCCCTTGATTATTTCCATCGCTTCGCAGTTTTATATCGTCGCACAAGTTCCCCCAGTCGCTTGGCATTTCGGTTTTGGTGTCAACCGCACTGGGTTCCCCAGGCAGTAGTGACGTCCACTCAACGGTCGGTCCCTCTCGCTCGCAGCTTTTCGATCTTGGCAAAGAAACCGCTCTACACTACACCAGTCGAACCAGGCGAACCAGTCCAGTCTCCCGGCACCCTCAGTCTTATTCCCACCTCACCTATCTGCATCCATCCTCTCTTTGGGCTGCATTTTCCGCTGCTGCCTCATCTGCCGCCATCAATCAATCAATCAATCACAGCAAACCATTTCCTTTGAAAAAAGGTTCTGCGTTATTCCCGAGCCTACTACTACCACAACACAACAGGTTGGCTGGCCGGCCGACGGGGAAAAAAAAAAAAAAGTGAGAAAGCTGCAGAAAGCAAGCACAAACACCCACGTGCCGGGGGCGTCGGTGATTTGCACCACGTTCCGCGATACAGGCAGCGGACCCATTCACACACACCCAGTCGCTCGCGCATTTCCCAACCGTCCGCTCGCTCGTCGGCTCCCGGGGCTACCCCAGCTGCGACCTGACGCAGTTCGGTGCGCATGTGGATGTCTGGGTATCCTGTCGGTGGTGACAGTCAGCAGCAGCGACGATTCGGCAGCGGCAGCAGCAGCAGCAGTCGTCGTGGCTCGATGAATCCGCATCCGCTCTCGTCAGCGGAGCCCGTCACCGCTGCCGCATTTGCACCTGCATCGGTATCCGCTCCCTCCGCACAGCCAAGACATTTGCCGGGTCTGGTGGATACCAGATCCCGGCCCGGGCCCGGGGTGAGTCTGACCCATTCTCATGCGGGGCCGGGCCCGATCATCCTCACCCCGAGCTCGGCCGCTTCTTCCACCGTCTATGTCGCCTCGCCGAGTTCGGCCGACGCGTACCACCATTCGCACTACCACCACCACCAAGGGGGTCACCACCACAGTCACCACTCCCATTCCCACTCCCACTCTCACTCCCGCTCCTTGTCCAACACAAGTAGTGTTACAGCCGCCGCGGGACCCGCATCCGGTCCCGAACACGGTGGTGCATCGTCATCATCCACACAAAACCCATATGGTCCCCGGTTAACAAGAGCGGCGGGGTACAGCAGCAGCAACAGCAGCAGCACCAACGTTGCTGGCGTTAAGCGCGAATCCACCGATGATCTACAAGGCGTCAACGGGGACTACTCCTCCAACGGTCACCACCACAATGGACCCTTGTCCGGGCTTGGCGGCACCACTTCCGGGTGGAGTGGCAGTGGCCCGAGTGAGAGCGTCGAAGGAGATAGCAGTGCTACCTCGCCAACGTCGACAACAACGGGAGGTGGAGGGCCCCAGAGGAAGAAGCAGAAACGGAATAAACCGACCTTGTCTTGTTTTGAGTGTGTTGAGAGGAAGACGAAGGTGAGTTAGTGATATTGCCTCTCATCCGACCTCATTGTGTACCCCCTCCCCCTTCCATCCCAACTTTGAGCTTATTTTGATGACGCGCTAACACTTGCACCAGTGTGATCGGGGCCGACCTCATTGTTTAGCATGTAAATCTTCCCATTCATTCATTCATTCTACTACCTCAATCCTGATCATCTACTTACCGAATCTCAGGTATCAAACGCCAAACCGAATGCAAATATGCCCACGTCGCCAACCTCCTTGAGTAAGTCCACCTTTCCCCTCTATCTCAGTATACCTATACTCACCATCACCTCCAGAGAAACATCGCGCAGCGCTGCCAACGGCCGCCGAATGACAAAGCCACCACGGAAAAAGACCGACCAGGCATCATCGCACACCAGCTCTCTCTTCACCGTTGTCCCCAACGCCGCAGACCGCATCTTGAGCAATGGCCGAATCCCTCTTGGCTCCATAGCGACCTCAACCGGCCTCCTCTCCAACGTGCCCTTTTCCGCTCCCGGCTCCTCCAACGTGTTCGGCATCGGCTCCGAACACCCCTTTGCCAACTACTGGACCTGCAACGGCGGGCTTCCCGAAGTCATCGACGTGCTCCCCGCCAAAATGCAGGTCGACCTCGTTCTCGACCGGTACTTTGAATGCGTCGACCCTGTGTATCCCATGATCCACCGGCAGACGTTCTTCGCCGACTACGAGCACTTTTGGACTATGAGCCTGGAGGAGAAACACAAGTGCGATTCGGCATTTATTGCGTTGGTGTTTGTGATGCTGGCGCTGGGCACGCAGTTTGTGGAGAGTAAACTCAGCGAGAGGGAACGCCAGCAGACTGCCGAGTTTTATGCGAGTGCGGCGAACCAGGCGTTGAGGGTGGGCAGCTATATGAGCATGGCGAGCATTACGAGTATCCAGGCCATGGTTCTGATGACTTACTTTTTGATTAACGATAACCACGCTTCGGATGGATGGGCGTTTGGGGGCATTTTAATGCGGCAGGCGTATGCTATGGGCTTGCATCGTGATCCTAATATTGGTATGTTTTCCTTCCTATTCTCCCTCTTCCCTCATGTCCCAACTAATAATCCTCTTTCCACTCAGTCGTCCCCACCGCCCCCCTCTTCATCAAACAACAACGCCGAAAAGTCTGGCAAGCCGTCCTCCTCCAAGACACCTTCCTCACCGTCCTTCTCTCCCTTCCCCCCTCAGCCACCCACACCGACGTCAAAGTCGAAGACCTCGTCTCCAACCTGGACCCGTCCACCTCCTCCTTGTCTCAAATCTCCATCGACGCCTGCGACGACCCCACCGACATCGCCTACCTCCGCGGCTCCTGGACCTTAGCCAACCTCGTCCAAGAAACCATCTGCTCCCCCCGTTCCTTGGATGTACCCATCTGCACCACAGCCCGACACAAGTCCAAACTCGTCGCCGACTTCAGGGCCGTCTACCGCTCGTTCCCCGATATTTTCCGGTCATGGGACGTGGCCATGCTGACCCAAATGGCTGAGCGTAACAAGCGGATCGTGCGCCAAACGCTGTTTTTGAGCTCCAACTACTTCCACAACCTAATGCTCGTACACGCCAGCGAGAGCGCCGACGTCCCTGTTAATGTGCGCGGCACGCTGGAGGCGGCGCACGATGCCATCACGGCGTTCTTTGTGCTGTTTTCGCTTTTTGAGACGGAGGCAAGGGTGTGGTGGGTTTTCAACCATCGGGCTTTCTTGGAGGCGCTGTGTATAGGGAATGTGTTGAGGGAGGCGGCCAAGGAGGAAGGCGGGGTGGAAGCGATGGGGAAGGATCCGCTGTTTGTTAGAGCCAGGGGGGATATTCGTGAGTTTACCTTTTTCTCTTTCTTTTTTCATTCTCCGGTGAACCTGGATTGGTGTACAAAAGGGTAAAATGCTAACTGACAGTGGTGGTGGAACAGATCAAATGCTTAATATCATGAGGGCGATGAGTGAAGGGGAACAAGGCTCGGAAACGGCGAGGACGAGGGTGCAGGTCTTGAGCGAGTTCCTTTGAGGTGAGGTTGAGTGAACCGTGCTTGGCGTTAGGAGTTGGAAGGAAGAGCGCTAGCGATCAATGACAAGAAAGAGAACCGAACCCTTCAAGATACCTACGAATCGAAAACACAGTGACAATTCTTGACGAGATGATCGGTTTGTTCAGGCAGGAAGGATAATTTTAAAGTATATAAGATCATACTAGGAAGGACACCCTAAAATCACTATGAAGTACTCGACTGGTGAACAAAGGCGTAGCTGCCATAGTCACTAAGCAACACTTTATTGGCAACTAAACCATCTATCAGTCAGCAGGAACTATCAACGTCAACAAAAAAAAATAATAAATAATAATAATAATAATAATAATAATAATAATAATAATAATAATAATAATAATAATAATAATAATAATAATAAAAAATACACTGTTAGGTGATTCACAGGTCATCATCACCGATCCATCTCCTAATCTCGCGATCACTGGCCCTACCGAAAAGGAGTATCAGACGACATCCCAACGGAGTTTTCCCAGCGCCCATCTATCCATGGTCGACCGTATGAGACTAATAATCCTCTTCGCAGTGGGATGAGAGGATGGGTTCGGAGGAGAGCTACTTAATAATATCGCTTGGACGGTTACGCTGGAGATGATCAAGTTTATATGTATCGAACAGTGAGAGACAAATTGAACCATTAATCACTCATCTGATAATTATACACCAAGGCGCTAATCTCAACGTAAATGAGTAGAAACCTCATCTACTTATGTCTTATATCGTAAGGGGACTATTCTACCTATTGTGAACAATGACCAATTCCGGGTGGCATATGGATGGATGGATGGATGGATGGATGGATGGTTCCTATTAGACTTGGACTTGGACCATTCGAGCTATTAAGCTATCGAAGTAACAGATACATCGCGGACTGGGTAGTTAGTTAGTTAGATGGATGAATTGACTTTTTGCTTTGCACTGAGAAGGATCATATCAAGGCCGATGAAGCCTTGTTTTCAAGAATGTGATTACAAACTATGATAGGGGAGGAGTATATGAACGGGTACCTAGTTCACACACACACACACAGAGAGAGAGAGAGAGAGTCACATAAAGTCAACAAATGAACTGTCTGAAATATTTACAGATATAGATATACATCATTACTCGATACCACCATCTATCCATCTATCTACATAAGTGGCCGCCTATCTACTCAGTTAGTTATACAAAAGAAAAGCTATTGAGATATATAACAGAAAAACACAAGATTGGCGACATGTCAAATGTCTCGCCGGGGTATATTGTTGCAGGTCAGTCAGTACAGTACTCTCAAACAAGTGCGTGCGTGCTCAATAAAGCAAGCTTTCAATGCTGTTAGTGCGACGTGTGGTGGCGGTGGTGGTATATGTCGAAAAAGAGAAAAAAAACCAAGGAAAAAAAAAAATAAACCTCCTCTTTGGGGGGAGCATCATGGAGCCCCGTTCCCTTCCGTACCGTACCGTACCCATTGGCACGACATATTAGGGGGCCTCCTTGGCTAGAACCATGGAAGAAGCAACCGTTGTCCCCCCGTTCTAGTGTATCCGATCCAATCCAATCCGTCCGTCCTGTCCCGTCCGTCCCGTCCTGTCCCTTCATCACAAATCATTTGCTTCGTTTGCGCGTTTCGTTTTTTTTGCTTCATTGAGTCGAGTTATACAACGCAACAACCCAGAAAGGCCTTATGTTATTGCGTCGTACTCCTCTTTGGCGGTCCTTCCACCGGCGGTTCCTTCAAGAGCCCACCAGCATCCACCAACTCCAAGTCGTGTCCCTGTCCCTGTCCCTGCCCTGGTTGGTTCAACAACCTCAACCTTCTTCTCTCCTCTTCTGACGAATACGTCGGCAGCTCATCATCATCATCATGCTCATGCTCATGCTCCTCCCCTTGCATCTGCGGTATACTCTCCAAATCACTCGTACTCTTGGGCCTCCCTCCTCCCCCTCCCCTTCCGCGTCCCTTACTCCAACTCCTTCTGCGAGCCGATTTCGGCACAGCTGACAACGTCCAGGGAGATAAAAACCCTCCTAGATCTTGTAGCAATGCTGCCGATCCTCGACGCAAGCCACTAGCACTGGCGGGCACGGCGGGTACAGGAACGGTGTGGGGGCGCGGTGGCTCGACGGTAGTGGTGGAAACGGAGGATTCTCGGCGACCGCGCGTGGGTTCGTCGGAGAGGAGGCCGCCGTAGTCGAAGAAGGAGACGCGACGGGGGGGAGAGAGGGGGGGGAGGCCGTTGGGGGTAGTGTTGCGGGGAGAGCCCGGTTGGCTGGACTGGCCTGAGAAGGACATCAGGTAGTCATCACTGCGGGCGGTGGAGCGAGCCTGCGATGAAGAGGAGGGTGGGAAATCCCACGAGTGGATGGTATCGTTGTTGTCGTGGTGGTGGTGGTGAATCTGGGCCATGGGGGCAGGGGTGTAGTAGCCGCCGCCACTGCCGATCTCATCCGAATAGGGGATCAGCCGTTCGCGCAAGTCGGGCTTGACGCCGTAGCCGACGTCGCGGACTAGATCCTCGTCGGAACCCCAGTGACGCAGGGTAGGACGACGGCCACCGTTGGGGGCGGCCCCGCCGGGACCCGAGCCGGGGGAGCGCTCGAGAGAACCGGCGGCGATGGAGCTGTATTTGTACTTGCGCTTTTTGACACCGCGGTCGCGAACAAAGGAGCCGAGCACGAGGGCGTTGGAAGCGGCGGTGGCAAATAGCAGTTCGATGGAGGCGTATAGAGAGCGGGATTGTTGGGAGCCCTGGGCGCGGATAATGTGCGGGACGCGGTAGACGGTGACGCCGACGACGCCGAGGGAGAGGGAGAAGAGCAGGACCAGCTGGAACTTGCGGGTCAGGCTCATTTGGGAGCGGATGATCATGGGAATGGGAAAGAAAACGAGGAGGAGGTCGGTAACGATATTGCAGATGGCCATGGTGAGGAGTTGGACGTAGCCTTGGCGGCATTGACCTCCAGGGTCCGGAAGAACTTGCGAGTACATGCGGAAGGGCCGGCATTCGACGACGTCGGAGACGATGACGGCGATGAAGGTGGTGACGAGGGTGACTTTGATGAAGGAAAGCGTTAATTCGTAGGAGCGCTCCCAGCTGACGTTGAGCCGTTTGAAGAATTGCAGGATGGCGTATTTGAGGATCCATAGCCTGCAGGTTGTCAGTGAGGTTTCGGGACAAGAAACAATGAAGCGCCATGTCTCAGCCAATGTGTACTCACGTCAACGCATAAAGCACCCTGCTGAGCAGCACCAGGCCACTCGCTACTGCCTTTCTATTTATTTGCTCCTCCGAGAGCCGAACAGACGAAAAGTCGGCATTATTCGTCCCGTTAACCAAGATGAAGTGGACGCAACCCATGCGCAGTAACAAAGGTACCAAAGCTAGAGCGGCCGTCTTGTCCTCACTGAACAGCGTCTCGGTCCGGACGAAGCGGCCACACACGCGCAGCAGGATCAGGACGACGCAGAACATGGTCATCCACCAACATACCAACAAGGTCGGCTTGTCGGCGCTGAAGGCACGCAACGGGGGAGGGTCCGAGTAAAGAGTCATAGTGATGGCGGCACCCGAGACATGCCGCCCGTCATCCTCCGGAGAGGGACGAGCGGAGAAGATGGTATACCCCGATGCGAAGGTTTTGCTAAAGTCGAAATGGTCCGTGAACTGGGCTAACTGTGGTGCTGAAACGGCGTGCCTGGATCTGACTCGGGTGGTGGTTTGAGACTATTGGGCTGCTGTCTGTCGGGCTGCTGCTCAATGGTCCTTCTCTGGCCGATCTGGACTTTCAAGTTCGGATGACACAGATCCGTGCGTAAGGCCTTTTCGGACGAAATGATGTCGGGGCAGATATAGTTCGGTTCAGACAGTATCAACTGGGTGGCGCAATGTGTAGATATACAGCTTTCGGTGTCTGAGAGTCGTAGTGGCAGTCCTTGTGTGAGCATGCTATGGTCGGTCTCTGGTTTCGAAAGCAGGGGTCCTGGATCGCCGAGGACAAGGATATGACGAGGATGTAGTGTAGACACTATGGCGGATCGAGTTGAAAATGCCTTCTTTTTTTGTTGACAGGTTTGAAGAGGCTATTATCTCAGTCGATTGTTGATATGTATGGGGATTTGTGAGAGAAAAGAGGAGAAGAAGGTAAAGTAAGGTTGGGGTTGGAAAGGATAGCTAGATAGGCGACCTCTCGTCCAGGGTTGTCAGTCAGTGTCAGAGGCGAAGCGAGGCAGAGCCTGCAAATGTCCAGAGAGATAAACTAGAGTGGGAAAAGTTGAAGCGAGAACCGAAAACCAATGTCGATCCGCCTATCTTTGGCGGGACGGGAAATTCAAAAGGCAGGCTGAGCGAAGTACCTTTGTACCTTTGACACTTGAAAAGTCGGGTGAGAGGCGGTTGCGGGTCACTTTTATTGTGACCTGATGAAGCGGGTGATGGAGGAGGAAGTGGACACTAGGAATAAGCGGGCTTGGTGGGTTCGTTGGTTGGAGTGGGCGAATTCGGTCAATGCAACGGGAATTTGGTCTTCCCCCCCCCCCCCCCCCCCTCTCTCTCCATCCTTGCTGTGCCTCTCTCCCCAACCTTGCGTCTCATCCTTCAAAAAAATCCTTGCCTCTATTCGCTGACAGGACAGGCAGCACGACCTGGGACTGGATGAGCTGCGGCGACACCCCAGCCTCTCTGCCCTGCTGCCAGCTTCCACATGTTGCTCTACCTGCTGCTCGGTAGCGAATCCCGTCATCCCGCTTGCTATACCGAGCTTCCTATTGCGTGGGCACCGACGTCCAGGGCAGCATGCTTATCAGCCTCTGAACTCGGTGTAGGTAAAAAAACTGAGGATGATTACTGTAAGGTATGTATGTAATCCGAGTAGAGTGCCAACTGGGAACAGCCTTATCAGGGAGCTCCTGGTTTCGGTCACTCTTGGCGGTTAGCAAGTCGCCATTTTGCCAAGTGTAATAATACTTTATGAATGCATGGCGAGCTGGATACGCGTTGCTTTTTTCACCATCTGGCTGTTGGTGGTAAGGTTGTAACTGTGTACTAACGAGCGAATCGGCAACGTAGCGAACTAGCGAATCCAAGTGGTGGTGGCGGCTTCCTATGTGTAGTGTACTAGGTTCGGAGCCATGATGGCGATAGCGTTGTACAGTAGTATGTAACTGGATTCGCCCTGAATATCGGGAGAGCTTCCACTTGAAGAAGGAACCAAGGAGAAGATAAGAACAGGAGACCGTCACTCGCATCGCAATTTCCACGATCCAGGCCCCAGCCTAGCATATGTCTAGCAGCTCTTGGCGCTGGGCGGGAGGCGGGAAGAGCATAACATCCATCATTAGCATGGCGCATCGCCTGAAAACAAGTGCCGTTGATTGATTTGATGCCATCATCACGTCTCGTGTAGCTTGCCGACCACCGACTCCGTTTTGCCGCGTGTCCAGAAAGCTACACTGCAAATCATCATCTGGGAGGCAGGTTGATCCTCAGAAAGTGGGTATGCGGCATCAATTCCGACATCAGATAGCATGGGATGAATGCATCTCGCAAGCAAACTCACAAAAAAGACCCAAGAAGAGGGCCTCCACACGCGTCGTCACCCTATCAAATGGAAAGGGTTCAATTTTAAACTTGTGCTCGGCAGTCCGGATTTTGAAACACCGACCCAAGCCCTGGATGCACAAAAACCCGATATTCCCACGTGTGAACGAGGAAGGGTCGTCTCCATTGTGCCCCTCATCACATCCCACTCTGCCAAATAAAAACCTGATGAAGCAGTTTTCACGCAGTGTTTTAAAGAGCCTCGAGAGTTAGTTAGGACCTGAGACTACATACAGTAGGTGGTCGTCTGGCCCAGAAAGAGGATCACAAAAACACTTGCATACGTACCTACCCAGGTACCAAAGATACACTACGTGACGCCGGGATCACTTTACGATCCGCGAACGGGTGCTTCCTTCCTTTAGCTGCCTCTGCCGCCTAGTGTATTTGCAGTATGTACCTGGGTCTCCACCACATACTCCGCCCATTTTAAATGTTCACCAAATCCTCACCCCTCTCTTTCCTCTCTTTCTTTCACCGCCTGCACATAGTGCAGTGTGTGAAATGCTCGCTGCAAAATGCAAAACACTTTTGACGCTCAATGCAACTGCTCGGGTCAAAGTTTTCCTTTCTGCATCTCTCTTGACGGATGCAATGTGACAACCCGCGTCTCGGTTACACGATTGGAACACTTCAGCTTCCTCCAAACCGTTGCCCAGAGAGTTTGGCAAGGTTGGTGAAACCTCACCTTTAATCAGGTCCAACTTGTATCTCCCATCCCTTTTGTCTCTGCCTAATGTAGTGAGGCCACGAAACCTGGTTTACATGATGGTGATACACTTTACAACCTGAACCTAACCTACCTACCCACGCACCCGCGCGCAATACTTTCCCCTTTCAGAATGCCCCATCAATGATTTTCAGGACCCGACCATATCTAGGAAACCCTTGGCCATTCCCCAGCCTCTTTACTATTGGCCAACAAGAAACACAAAATCTCAAGACGCATCCCAAGATGTTGGCGACCCCACGTGGGGACCCCCATTGCCAACTGCCTAGTGTACTGCTGCTCGCCACTCTCCTTCTCCCCTCCGGCGCCAACTCTTTTAAAGTCACGGAATCTCCCGACGGGGAACCAAGGGACCGACCGGATGAAGGGCACTATGTCACTGCTCTCTTCTTGGCCTCCATGGACGCCGCGGGATGCGATGCTAGTTTAGGAGATAAGGGTGCGTCAATTTTGGCATTGACCCTGTGTGCCTGCTTATCATTTACCACCAAACGCGAACCCTTCTCTACGTAACCATCATTTGCCCTTTTGGCCGAATGGCTTAGGGGACTGTCCCATTTTTCGACTTCGTTTTCTGTCAGTGTCACGCACACTAAGTAGTTTGAGACATTGAGGCGTTCAACAACGAAAATCCACTTCAGACCGGAGGTACGTCCGTGTTATTTTGGGTTATGGATATTGGACCTCTTTTTCGGGCTGAAGATCTACACAATATTGCCCATAAGTGATGACTAATGTCTGATGCGTACCAAAAGACACATCCTTATTAATTCTAGCATCATCTCTCTCGCCTTACACTAGTGATTGTGAAGAGGAGTTCATCTTCTTAATTTTCCTTATCCACTCTACACCACAAAGAGAATGGTGCTTGCTCCCCTTCACCCCTATTCCCGAGTCTCGCCCGAATGATCGGTCCCAACAGTTTGACACCTCCGGGAGCCGGTTTGAACTCCCGTTGCTTCCAGCTCCGTGGACGACGAGACATGCTAGACTGTATGGACGGAGTTTGTCAATCCGGAAGAGCGGGCGGCGCAAGACTTTTTTAAATAAAATACCGCACCCAAAGCAACAACAAGCTTTCAGATGGTGGGATTTCCAAGTATCCCATTGCGACTCAATCCAACCAGCTTGTCCACTCCGCCGAGGACATTGGAACCGCATCCTCTCGATCAAAATTTCCTATCCGATAGTTCGACTTGGCATCCTCTCGGCCGTTCTGATAGCTGTCCCGTCAACTTGGTTGATATACACCATTTCATCGATGCAAGGTTCAAGCGATCTTTGTACTTTCGCCTTGCCGGACCAACGGAGTGGTGTTGGTAGCGGCATCTTCCTACGTCCTCTGAACTCATGTTTTACTTTATTCACCCACGAGCAAGAGATTTACCCACGAATAAGAGAACACAAAGAGCAACGACGTCACATGCACCGACGCACTCCTACCCCCAAGTCATCGCTCTCTAATCTGTCTTTCATTCACTATTACCACCCACCACCCCGTCGTCACACAAGAATCTCGCTACCCAACTACATACATAACCTTCTCTCTTGGGTGAATTTTTCCGTTCCCGGGTGATGCCGCTCCTCGGAACCAAATCATGTAATGTATGCATGCAATGCAGCAAAAGTCCAAAGTGAACCAACATACATACATATGTACATACGCGCCGTTTCGTTACCGTCTCCTCGGGACCGGACAACTCCACGCTCTAGACCTTGGACCAGACACACTGGAAAACCAAAATTGCAAAGTTACTTCCACAGGGTAACATCATCATCATCACCTGCCCACAGGAGAATTTATGTATGTAGGTGTATCTCTGGGGAGTATGTACATATTTCCAGCAAAAGAAATGTCACTTCCCCCACCCACGCATTCGCTTGCTTACATTACGCACACACATACACACATACTATACGTACTCTGACGAATCAAATTGCTTTGTTGGTATATGTAGTTATTGTGTACAGAATCAGATGCATTCAAGTGGTGGTACTCGGGATGGGGGGTAATCACAACCATATGCATGCATGTGATTGTTGGTGGCGACGGGTGGTGACGGGAAGTGACGGCCCGGTTGGAGACGAGGGGTTGGTGAACTCGGTAGGTTGAACGGCCGGCGACGGTGTGTTCACAGGAGAGAAAAGCAAGTGATATAGAACTGAAGCACTTTTGGTTGTGTTGTGGAAAAGGAGGAAAAACAATTAGGTATAGTGTCCAACGTTGGGATGAAGCATGCTGGTGGTCGGTCACTGCACTTTCTGACCGGTTATATAGGTCTAGTCCTTCGGTGTTTAGACTCGAAAGTATCATGGTTGGAACTCGATGATCAGCGTGCCATTCTTTTGTATCTAGTGTCTTTGAGCTGACTACACATGTTGTTGTGCAGTAAATATTAACTTTAACGAACCAACAACTCGAATTGTTGACGACGTCTGCGGTAGATGGAATTGGATACTCGCGAAAGCCTATCATCCATGTCTGACCACACTCATCAACTCGGCCCATATTGTTAGCAATTCTTAAACCTAGGTCTCTGACAAATGTGCCTTTAGAATGTTCAGAAATTCTTCAAGAAGATGTTGTCCGGTAAATCGTTGATTCTAGAGTTCCTGAGATCGACGACCAATCTCCATCGTATCCCATGGACCTGGACTAATGGACGACTTTTCGCCAAGGCAGAATCGTACGATATATAGCTTTTTGCTCGCCATTTTAAGGTCTGACAAAGCAGGATTTCCTGTACCAATCATATAAATTGTTAGCGATCACAACACATGATTGGTCCAAAGGTGATCATACTAGCAAGAAAGTCCGTTAGTCTCGGTCAAAGTGATTACCATCATTCTTACTCCTTGACATCTGAAGCAATTTAAAACTATCAACCTCTTCGGGAGACCTTTGATTATGAAAGAGGCTCAGTTCATCCGATTGAGTATCATCATAGCATGGCTACACCAAGAGTGGAAGTAAGAACTAGCACCGGGCCGTTCCTTAGCAGCCCGAAGGAGGCTGACGTGCTTCTTGGAGAGCAGAGTATATGCAGTGTCCCAGGCTTTCAACCAGGTCCTTGGTATAATCCCAAGCTCTTTTTACAATCAGTATCCTATTTATGATTGTAAGGTTTCAGTTCGTTCTATACGAGCAAACACCTTGATGGCTGTTGACGAATGGAGCAAGTAAACAGCGGGGTGGGCCCGGGCCCGATCGACTCCGTCATCGCAGCGTGGGGTCAGACATGCAGCCGTCATCATTGATAGAGGTACTGGACTGTAGCTGTTTGCCCTACTTCAACCCTCTTCTTTCCTTCCAATAATTTGCTCCTTCTTCTGGACATTTTCAAATCAACATTGCGTCTGCCTTTCAGTTCACCTATTCGACCTCCAATAACCGGCAAGGTCAACATACAGACGAGGGGCAGACTTCCACCGAGCACCTCGCTCAACGCCCACCCATTCCTGATCACGGACGTCATCGATGGATGGCTAGTAGACTGCCCGTCAACAAGTTGAAGCTCAACATCATCAACAGCTGCTGCCAGAAATCATCACCGCATTCCCAGAGACTCTCCACCAACATCTTTCGTTCTCTGTCAACCAAAGTCCCAAGGCTTCCCGCAACAGCTACCAGTCTCGACCAGAAGATCTCGAAACCATCACCACCGCGCTACACCAAACCACCGATCATCAACCGCTGCCTCACCACTACTTCAACCACCTCAACCCCCTCCTCAACAACCACCACCAAAATGTCCACCTCCACCCCTCAACAACCCAACCGCCAACCACTCCCCACCACCCCACCCCCCTGGCGCGCCCCCTTTCTCTCCCACCTAACCTCCCTCCCTCCCTCCTCTCGCACCTTCGTCCTCTCCACCTTACACCCCCTCCCCCCCTCCCTATCCTCCACCTCGACCCCGACCCCCGTCTCCTCCACCATCCCCGTCCTCCCCCGCGCCCGCACCTGCGTCTGCCGCAGTCTCTGGGCCCAACTCGAACCCAACCCGCACAACCCCGCCGAGTTGAACCCTCCCATGTTCGAAAGCGACATGATCGCCTTCACCACGGACGCCCGCATGGAAAAAGCCGCTGAGATCGTCGACACGGCCTCGGAAGAGCGGATCGAAGCCGGGGGCGAGATGACGGGCGGCGGAGGACCCGTCGAGGCAGTCTTCTGGATTGAAAAGGCTAAAGACGCCCAAACAGGCGAGGAAAGAAAAGTGATGACGCAGTGGCGGATTCGAGGATCGGCGTGGCTTTTGGGGCCGGACGTGGACAGTGAAGGGGCGAAGAAGGTGCGGGAGGTGTTGAGGCAACGGATGCGCAGACTGGAGGGCAAGACACAAGAGGATGAAGAGCAATGGAGCTGGAGCAGGGAGGTTACGGCGCATTTTGGAAATTTGAATCCGGTCATGAGGGGCACGTTTCGCGGACCGCCGCCGGGACAGCCGGTGGCGTTCCCCCCTGGAAAAGGGGAGGAGCTGGGGCAGGAGGTGGTGGATTTGCAGGATGAGGTGGCGAGGAGGAATTTTAGGGTGGTGGTGATTGTGCCGACCGAGGTGGATCAGGTTGATTTGTCGGATGCGAAGAGGGCGAGACGGTGGTTGTATTTGTGGAGGGGAAATAGTTATCATGCGAAGGAGGCGGGCGGGGAGGTGGAGGGGGAGTGGGAGAAGGTCGAGGTTTGGCCTTGAGGGATTGATTGGACTGGTTCGTGATATGGACCGTGTGAGTCTTTCGGGTATGTGTCATTAATGAAAGGAATGAATGATTGAATAGTCAACATGCCATTTGATAAACGGATTACAGTGTTGGAGGATATGTGTCTTGACCTCATGGTAGAGGCTGCGGACGGTTTGGGTTTTGTCATTACAATGTCATCAATCACTAGCTCCTAAGCAATCGAATCAACAGCTCAATAGCTCTGATATCTCATGCTCGATTTCAAAAGGGATTGATGAAACTTTCTTTCAGTCAGCATCAAAACACCCGAATGTTGATGATTCCAGCCCAGGGGCTACTTCCGGTTCAGATGAGAGCACCCTAACAAATTAAACTCCGTGCTGAACATACCTATTAGCGAACAAATAAACGAATTTTGCTCCGATATCTCTTGTCTCAGATTTCATAATGATAGCTCGGATATTCTCTTGTCGGTATATATCTCAAGCTACTTAGTACAAAAGCCACTCCGTAACGCCTTTCTTTCTTTGTTCTTCTTTTGAAAAAGAACAGAAACTGATTTCCCTGTATCCCCATAATGCTAGAATAGTTAAGAAAAAGAAAAACGCCCAAGTGTTTTGTATTACACAACCAAACCCCTAACCCCTTCCTCCCTGTCCTGCTGGTGGCTGCCGTGCTTTCATTTCTTTCTTGCTTCGCTGCTGGCCGTCGTCCCCTTCAGGGCTTCTTATCCAGTCCTCGTCCATATAGTCATCAACTGATTCCCACCAGCCAGACCCGCGTTGGCCCGTCGAAGACCGTCCAGAGAGCAAACAAAGCCTGGGGAGACATTGGATGGATTGGTGTAGTGCCCACCAGCCAGCCAGCCAGCTCAACTTTCCCAACCGCACGCAACCACCTCCTTCTCTCACGCACACACGCTTGCCCCCCTTATACGCAAAGCCTGTAAGAAGCATAGCGACCCGCCGTCTCCGACACACGAATGATCTTGACGACCTGGCCCCTCTTGAGTCCCAAATACCGCGCAATCGGATCCTTGCTCAGAATTCTCGGCAGCTGCGTCTCCTTGAGTCGGTACCGCTTGAGGAGGGCGGCCTTCTCCTCCTTGGACAACAACACGTGCTTGGGCACGAGCTCGTGGTGCGTGATGTTGACCAGCAGGTCCTCCTCCAGGAAGCACTCGACCTGGGTGTACTGCGAGGTGACGGACATGACCTTGCGGGCCTGGGCGGACAGGGGGACGGCGGTGATGAAGATGCCGGCTTTGAACTTGTTGTCGGAGCAGTGCGTGACGAACTTTTTCATGACGGACACGCCGATGGAGCCCTTTTCGGTGCAGAACTCGACCCAGATGGTGCCGCATTCGGGAACGGGGTTGGGGTTGGAGGGCGTGGGAGGGGCGGTGAACTTTTTGATCATGGCTTCCGAGGGGCGGGCGGAGAATTGGAGCTTGGCGCGGCTGTGGTGTGGTGTCGTTAAGTCAGCTTTTGGTTGGCTTGGGTGGAATGGTAGGTGATGGTGGTTTGAATTCGGATGCAACGCGTAAAGTGATGTGATGGGTGATGGAGGAGAGGAACTCACTTTGGTGTTCCATCCTCGTTCGTGTATTCAGCCTTGAACCGCTCGAGCGAGATCTTGACTTCGTCTTCCGCCAACTCGTAGCCCTACAGTCGAGAAACGCATATATATGTCAGAATAGGTCGGATCATTGTGGGCGATGGCGCGTCGAGCAAGCGCCGTGATAAGAATGGATGGCGTACCCTGTCCTGAACCATCTCGTGAACAGTCCTCCAGGCCCTCCACAGACGGGAGACTTCCTTGGAGGCACTGGTGGGGCTGCTGTCGTCCTCCATTTTGGCTGTGTGTGAGGGGCGATCGATTAAAGCGTGGGTTTTGTCGTCGCGGAGTGGTGGTGATGTGGAGGTTGCGCAGGTGAGGTGGTGGTTCGCGATGGTGGATGGCGTGTGGTGGATTGATAGCTTGGAGGACTTTCCTGTTTACGAGGCTGAAGGACAAAGGCTCTCAAAAAATTGCGGGAAGGGTGGGTGTCGCGGAAGACCAGTGGCGTGGCCGCATTGATCAGAACGCCCACTCCAGGTTTCCACGCCGGCCGATAAGAGATAGGTGGATGGGTCCACAGTGAGCCGGAGGCTGCCCGCCTTCACCCCTGTCAGACACTGGACTATGTACATAAGCGCGCAGATGGTCTGTGCTGTTGACCGTTGGCCGGCTTCTGATTCAGTTTGATGAAGTCGTGAAAGAGGAGGAACAGTGATGGCGTGCGCTGGTTTTATGCATCACTGCCCAGAAAATCGGACATTGACTTGCGTTTCCCGTACATATAGCACACAAAATTAATCATTCTCTGCCAACCTAACTATATGTATAAACCTCTTCCATGGTCCCTATAATTTCCATGAGGGACATTGCTCGGCAAAGTGAAGAGAAGAGCCAATTCAACCTATCATCATACTTGGTAGGTAGTAGCGCACAGGCCAGGACGGTGACACGCGTGACACGGTGTCGGGGAAAGGCCACGATCTGCAGATCTGGAACACGCCTGAAGCGGGACAAATTTTGGAATTTTTTTTGGAACTGGCGACTGTGAATTGAGGGTTCAAAGTGAAAGGTTAGGTAGTTTCCGTTGAATTGTCAAATGCGGGCAAAACAGCCAGGTCAGGTGTAACCATTGTTCTCCCCAGGGCAGTCTGGACCCCATCTTCCACTATAATCACATCTCCATCCAAACAGCGATTACCCTAGAGGTACATCCTACAGGACCCGTGCACTGCCTTCCATCCTTCCTCAGGTCGCCCGCGGCTGTTCTACACCAAGTACATAGGTAGCTCTCCATCCCATCCACCGGCTCCGACCCACGCCCCGGCTGCCTAGTCCCTTAACTATTCCCTTCCTTTCGTCTCTTCTTCCTTCTTCTTTTTTTTCTCCAGCAACCCCCAACACCACACACAATGGCCGAGTCGCAATCCCCCGCTGCCGCCCCTGCGGCCACCACCAAGCCTCATAAGCCTGATCAGGATGCCTTCAACGAGAACCTCGCCAAGGCCGAGAAGGAGTATCAGGATGCCCTGAAGAAATACGTGAGTCCCCTGCCCTGGCCGCTACCAAGAGCGCATCTACCCGATACCGTGGAGTCAGAGCACCCGCCCTCGCACTCACGATGCACCCTGCCGTCCACGCCACCATCACCACCACCACGTCTTCTGCTACTAGAAGCTGCTGCCCCCAATTGCCATGTGACAAGGCCAGACTAACCAATTGTCCCTGAATCCAGAACGAGATCAAGGCCAAGGTTGAGCTCGCCGCTCCTAGCAAGAACAAGGACCAGCCCAGCCCCACCCAGAAGAAGCGCCAGGAGCTCATCTCCCAGCTCAACGAGATCCGTCAGCAGCAGGCCGGTGGCAAGAATGCCCGCACCTCCAAGCTCGACCAGATCAAGCGCCTCGATGAGCAGCTCCGCAGCCGCATTGCCGAGCAGAAGACGGCCCGCAGCAAGGTCAACTTCAAGTCCACCGAGGAACTCGACCGCGAGATTGAGCGCCTGGAGAAGGAGGTCAACGGCGGCATGATGAAGCTCGTCGACGAGAAGAAGGCCCTCGCCGAGATCTCCAACCTCCGCAAGCAGCGCAAGAGCTTTGCTGGCTTCGACGATGCCCAGAAGCAGATCGACGACCTGAAGGCCAAGATCAAGGAGATCAAGGACAGCCTGGAGGACCCTGAGGCCAAGGCCCTCAGCGAAAAGTACAACAAGCTCCAGGCCGAGCTTGACGCCATCAAGGCCGAGCAGGACGAGGCCTACAAGAACCTCTCCAGCCTTCGTGACGAGCGCACCAAGCTCCAGCAGCTTCAGTCTGAAAAGTACCAGGCCATCAAGAAGCTCAAGGATGAGTACTACGGCGCCAAGAAGGAGTTCGCCAAGTGGGAGCGTGAGCAGCGCGAGAAGGCTCGCGAGAGACAGCAGGCCGAGCGTGAGCGCATCGCCAAGGAGCGCCGCATGGAGCGTGCCCAGAAGATGCTTGCCGAGGCTTCTGACCCCGCCTACCTCGAGGAGATCCGCCGTGCCAACTCTCTCCTCAAGTACTTCGACCCCAGCCACGAGGTCGCCGAGAAGGCTCCTCTCCTGGCCGACAAGGGCCTCGGTGCTCAGGCTCTTCGCAAGGTCGACGACTCTGGCCTCAAGGGCATGAAGCTCGTCCGCAAGGAGGAGCGTGATGACGACTACCTCCCTGCCGTCAAGAAGGGCAAGAAGTCCAAGAAGCCCACCGGTGCTGCCCCTGTCGCCACCGGCAAGACCTTCAGCCTCCCTCCCTCGGTCATTGAGGACTGCAGCTTCGTCGGTGTCGAGCCCCCCATGGCTGCTACCGATATCCCTGCTGCCGTTGAGAAGATCAAGGCCAAGCTCGAGCAGTGGAAGGCTGACCAGCCTGAGCAGACTCGCAAGGTATGTTGTTTTTGTTTCGTTCCTGTTGAAGTGACGGTTGCTAACAGTGCCGCTTGCAGAACATCGAGAAGGCCAAGAAGGAGATTGAGCGCCTCGAGGCTGAAGAGGCCGGTGAGGCTTCGGGCTCTGCCACCCCCAAGAAGGCCGTCGAGGAGGTCACCGAGGGCGTCAAGAACGCCACTATTGAAGAGAAGACTGAGGCTGTCGAGGCATCCGCATAGAAGCGCCGCCATCGACGTCACGGATCGTCTCGTTCTCTGACATCTGAAAAGTTATGATTTGAGGGGGACCAGGACTCCGACGAGGTTCAGGTTGCCAGGTTAAGCGGGTATTCGGGTCCTGTCATCCCTCTTTTTCATCCTTGCCACTACCGTCCGTTGCCCACAACGACGTTACAGCCGTGTCAGATGTTGTGCGCATCTATCCCGGCACATTATCATTCGCATATATATCCCCGATATTCATCCTTTTTTTGCCTTAGTGGTCTCTTTAGTCATCATCATCCCCTGGTCTCTTCCATCAAATGTTGTCAGCATGCTTATTGGGGTACAGAAAAGGGGAAAGTTTTCGGGAATTCAAAATACGGGGTGGCATTCTTAACTCATCCTCACCTTCACACGCAAAAAGACTTTAATAGCTGGATTTGTCCGAACCTGCTTCCTAACGTATTTGATATCGAGATGACGTTTATGGTGGTTGGTGAACGCAAGGGAATCGACAAGCCAACTGAGGTATCGCAGGCCCCGAAAAGAAAGCATGGCAAGGTGTCGAAGTGGAAGAAACTGACGGGAACATGTGAAAAGGACTCTTGAGATAGGTTAGATACGAGAGTGGAAAGCAAGAGGGACATTGATACCCATCTTTCACACTCCGCACTTCCATACCGCCTGACCGTCAAGTGCCATGGAATGTTTGCTTTCACTGACTGCTTGCCTGCCATGTTCCGTTAACCTCAAATACCAACAACCATCATCCTTCCTCACTTCTCACCGTAACGACAGCTGTCAACGACAAAGGGATAGCTACCTATCCACGAGTGTCTGTGGATTTGGGAATAGAGTCCACTAACTCGACTGGTCTGCGTTACCAGCGGAACCCGAATAGCGTAAATTACAACAAACAGTATTGTTACAGCCCAAGCAAATAAACCGAGTGAGAGTAACAGAAAAAGAGAAGAAGAAAAAAACTCCTGACGTTCTCAAGCACATTGGCACACACAGAGCAGACAGGACACACGCCGATAGCAGCCCAACAAAAACGTCCCGAGTGTCCCCGTGCACACTGCCCATGTCCGTCCTATGCCTCTTCCTACCTCTATGCTACCTATCTATTAGGTACACGTAGAAGTACAGGTACTTGGAGGTTCCCTTTCATGTAAGTAGGGCAATCTTCTCGAAACCCTTACTTAACCTTCTAGGAATCAAAAGGCAAGGTACAGTCATGGTCAAAAAAAAATAGGTACTGTCCCCCTCCCCCCACACATCATCCAATATGGTAAGGGGGGGGGACAGTATTTTTTATAATATGAGTTTTAGGTACTTCGGAAGACTACCTAGCTAGCTAGATTATTTTTACTTGTAGGGTTTGTAAACATTGGATGTCAAATCAACATATGAAGTTTTCAGTTTGATACTATTAACCCTATACATAGCAACGATCAGCCATATAACGATATCCTGACCATAACACATTCAAGATCAAGGTAACGGTGCATATTTATATGGGAGTAACGATCAACCTTCGTATTATGATTTCGATTAGATTTTTGGAGGCGAGTTGCACCAAAATCGTTATACTTGGGGGGGGGGGGGGGGTTGGTTCGGTTCTGAGACGCCCAGTGACAGGCTGTTACAGCTCGTGACGGCCGGTCATAGGTCCTTTCAGCTGGCGCCGGCCTCCTGATTGGTTCCAGAAGCCCGACCTAGCCTACCTTAGAGTAACGATAACCTGGGCATTACGATCAAGACCCGGCTAACGGACTTGATCGTTGTGTGCAGGGTTAACAGTAACCCTGTTTTCATTATATTTAGGTAATTATGAACCCAGCATTTGATGTCGAAGGGGGGGGGGGGGGGGGGGGGGGGAGGGGTTTCTAGTACGGACTTGTACTGATGATGTACATTACTGGATTTACTAGATTACTAGATTCATAACTGGATATCTATAAATACATACTAATCCCATACCTCTCTCTACCTCTATCTCTACCCGTTATGTCCCTAGGTAGGTATGTGTTCCCATTGCAAAGAGAGGTTACTACCTACATTAGGTAGGTATTTACCTACGTATGCACATAGGGTACATACAACAATGGGGTAAATTCGATAGTACCATACATCTCTCTCCATCCCGCGTTTCCATTCGTCAGATAGGATTCCAGATTTCACCACCTCATGTGTCCCGTCTCAGAAATCCGTGCGAATGGTATCTACCTAGCAAAGCGGACGGGTGGACATGTGGACGGACGAATACCGCGTGAATACGGGATATAGGTAGCGTCATCGGGCATCTATCAAGCCGTTTTTCCAGTGTTTTCAAAGTTTGGGTCAGGCTAGGTAGTAAGTAGGGACGGATGGTAGTCCAGTTGCAGTGGTAATCCAGTGGGTACCTAGGTATGCGGGTAGTCCAGCCGCAAGTGATATGGTGTGGTGAGGTGTGGTGTGATGTGAGTAGCCGAGATCGGGGGCCGGGTTGAGGAGGGGAGAATACATATCTACCTCTAGCGACCGGCAGCAAAAGCATGACAGAGTAGAGGTAGGGACGGATGCAAGAATCAGGGTGGCTGGGTGGCTTGGTGGCTTGCTATTTTTTTCTTTGCTTTTCCGCTTGCTTTTCCGTTTCCCGCTCTGCTGTGTGTGCTGTGGTATTGGGTTCCAGGTATCTGGGTTAGGTTTCTAGGTCAGGTTACTCTTCTCCGTTTTCTCGATCTCCGTTGATATGTGAAAGTGATAGTTCTGCTGCTTACTTCACTTCACTTCACGTTAGAATGTCAAATATATGAAAAGAAAGTTTGGACGAAACCTTGGAGAGAATATACTTACCATAAGTAATTGACGAGGTTGATGAACGGGACCTACAACAACTTATAATATATCGCTACGTCCAAGACACACCACATTACCTTCAGAATGGAATATGCACACCCAGATTCTTGACGTTGAATGTTTCTCAATCTGTTTGTGTATTACACAGGGTATTACGAATTGACCATTTCCCATCTTCAGTCTAGCGGTATGCGACAACTTTCTTTCTACGTCCGTCGGGGAACCGTATCACGACTTCGTCATGTGAGTGACCTCAACTGAGGATAGAATCGTCATTATGCTGCGGCTCCTGAGACAAGTTCGTGACAGGAACACACAAGAGACAACGGCGCGATGTCCGTCTGGATTCAGATCTTGGAGTCCGTACTGGACTACCTCGGTTGTGTACTACACCGAAAAAGGAAAGGATAGCAGACATGGTTAGAAGATCGAATTCATTGAATGAATGAGCAGTGAATTAGCTCTCTTTGAGTGACTGCCTGAGTGCTAGCTAGCTATACTTTCCAGCTTTCGTCTCCAAAGGCTCAGTGTTTCCTCTCCCTGACCAATATCCTTCAAGGTATACTAGTCTAAAAGGTGAAATTGTCATCATATCATGATATTCCGCCCAGTCTTTGATTTTGGTTTTGCATTGTTTCTTTCGTGAGGTATTCATGCCATCATCGCAGTCATAAGTAAAATCCAGGCCTGCCACCCAGCCTTCCCAGAAGGTGAATGATAAAAAAATCGATAAAGCACAATCATGATTCCCTGAACACCGAGTCAACCGCCCATTGACTATCCGTAAACCCGGTCATTCATCCGTTCATTTCCGTTCCGTTTCCCTTCCCGTCCCGAGTTCCCAGACGATTGTTTGTGATCCTTTACTTGATTTTTTGAGAACAAATGCCGCCGTCGCTTTCCCTAAATGTGATATGCAACAATGCGGCCGTGGTATGCAAGAATGGTATGTAAGAAAAGATCCTCATGCTGTAGATGTGTGACCCCTTGTCGAGGCCATGGTAAAGCATGAGGCAAGCGATGACAAAGGGAATCTCGATTTGAAGCGAACGTAGTATTGTCAACTTGTCGAGGTTGTTGGCCATTTAGTATGGCTGCTGAGGATAGTATGTTGGCGGTCCAGGGTGTGGTGCCCGGTATGATTGTCTCCGCTCCCTTGGTCCTGGTGTCCGCCTGTCACTTCCACGGACCGGCTCAATCGGGGGTGGCGTGCGTCGCATGGCAGGCATGGGGGCAATATCTCTGTCGTAGGCCATGCTGCGACCGCTGGCCACAGTTGCTGGGGCACCAGGCGCCATCCTCGAGCTTGTGCTAATTCTCCTGGGTGCGTTAAGAGCATTGAGAGGAGGGTCCTTGACAGATGCGTCACCATCATCTGGAAGGGTCAACTCGACTAGGCTGTAGAAGTACTCGAGCACCTCGGGGTATCGCTGTACTGAAGCCTGCCAGTCCTCATCGATGCCACGCTTCAACTGGGCCTGGGCGTTGGCGAGTTCACTAGGATGAGGTGGCTGCTGGTAGTATTGCCAGGCGTGTTCTGTGATGCGGTCCAGGTGCGAGGCATGTGCCGTCTTTCGTCGCTCAGTCAGCTGGCGGAAGTGATCGAGGATGTAGTCTTGAGCATGAGCTCGCACCCATGACCTAGAGGGATGTTAGCATGGCTCGTGGCTATAGACAGAAGGATGATGGGTCCACTTACCGGATGTCATTGTAGATAGACTGCATCATCCGGTTTTCAGCCTGCTTGACGGCCATCTCGAGGCCCTTGGCCTCACAGTCACAGGCAACGGTTGCCGGAGCATGGCAAATGGCGCAATCGGGATCCATTCTGACGATGGACTTTTGTGAGTGTTGGGTGGTTTCTGCCGAGTACATTGTTTAGTGTGGTGTTGTAAAAGGCAGACAGTAGTAGTGTGATCTTTCGAATTTGGTGTAGTAAGGAGTATGTGGAGTGTGAGGCTTTGCTGCTTTTATTATAAGAGTACGTGTTGCTATGTTCACAACGTTCACGCTCTTTCTCATGACCGACAAAGGGACCAGCCCAGCAGCAAAGTATAGAAGCTTGATGATGAAGCAGCCAAGAGTAGATGGAGCAAGAGGCAGAGGGAGAATGGGGAAAGATGTGGATGTTATGAAGCTGGTGTGAGGGAGTACAAGACAAGACTCTCGGTCGAGAGAGATAAGGCAGCAGATTCACTAACCTGATGTATCAAAGGCCGAGAAGGTGTCGATCGAGTGGAATCAACGACAAGTAAGCAAGCAGCACAGGCGGGAAGAAGTGAGCAAGCAGGCAGGCCCGCAGGTGGAGGATGTATGTGGACGTATGTGAATGTATGTAAGTGTGTAAGTCGACAAGGTAGGTACCGGAGGGGAAACACCACAGCAGCGCGACCACGCAGTGTGCAGGATGAGATGGCGAACGAGGATGAGGGAAAACACGACTGATGAATGGGAGAAGAAGGAGGAGAAGCAGAGGAGTTGAGAGGGGTGAGAGGTGAAAAGAGGAGCCAGGAGGCAGGACAGGGCAAGGAAGTGTCAAGCAGCAAGCAGCAGAAAGGTCGGGTTCAGGAACTAAGCTTGCCCTGCTTGCGTGTGCTATGTAGCGGCAGCAGCAGAACGGTCCGGCCGGATCAACCAAGAAAAGAGTCTCGAAAGGCAGGCAAAGATGACCGAGACGACAGACGAGAGGGATCTGCCCCTGTTTGGCTGTTTGGGACACACCAGTCTCAGGTCTGTCAAAGGCGAAACCACACGTTGTCCGGCTGGGGATCTCTGTCGTGGCTCGAATGCGGGCCCGCTTGGCCTCCTTTGGCAGCAGTGGTCTGCAGCTTGCAGCGGCCCAATGCCTGTGTCGACCAGTCCGCGACGGCGTGGCCGATCCGGGACCCAGTTTTCCCGACTGGAGGCGAGTGTCGTTTGCACCTTGTCTGGGACCTTTTCTGTCTAGGTGGTGGCGGATGATTCGCTCTGCAGCAGCAAGACAGCGCACTCTTGCAGCAGACGATCCCCCAAGGTTATCAGCGTCTTGAAACTCGGAAATGCTGACAGTGGGGTGACGGGCAACACGGCCGGTTGGTTGGATACCGGCTTGATGGGCAACTGGCGATGAGCAGACGGGCAGCAACAGGAGGAACAAAAGCTGCCGACAGGTGGTAGATGGGAGAAGGAGGCAAAAAGAAAAGGCAAGGAAGAGCCGCGTTGCCGTGGAGGAGAGAAAGGCGTCGTATTCAGTCAAGTTGTATGTAGTATCTGTTTGACAAGAATATGATAGGCAGGGTTGATAATCCTGAGAAGAGCGGGAGGGAGGAGCATAGTCCCCGTTGCCCTGTCAAATAGAACAAGAATGTCAACATTATCAACATCAACAAATAACGGAGGAGGCGGGCAACGGAAACGAGGCCAAGACACTAGGTCCTACCCGAGATGTACCAAGTGTCAGAGAAAATATGTCATGTGCGTTTTCTCCAACCCGAGTGAGTAGGCATGCAAAGTCCCCATGATTGTGTGTGTGTTGACACTGCTCCCTTCAACCACTTCCATTTACCTTCCCCATGAGATGAAGAGATGAGGTTCGGTTCCCAGCTGGAATTTGGATACCTTGGATCCTGAGGTACCAATGTAGCTGAACGACACTGTCCAATAGAAAATGCAAAGATGGGGAGGCTGGGGAATTGGAGTCAGGTCAGACGGGAAGGAAGCAACATTATATCGACGTCTCACTTGTGATGCTTGAGACAGAGGTCGGATGGGAAGAGTGATGGTGCGGCGCACTTGTGACAGAGCGAGGGCCATGGCCGTTTCGGATGGAATATGGCAGCACTATGGCAAAGAGACACAAAAGTTGATTGGAATGTGAAGAGGATTATTGAAGTCGATTGTATTGTTGGGTGGGAGACGAGGACAAGTGCGTCGATCAGAACGACTTCAGACGGGCCCCCAGTTCGCCAAGACTTTTAGCCCAATCCACTTCATGTCATGCACGCACTGGGCTCCCCGCAGTGGCTACCTCTAGTGTACACTAAAAGTGGAAATGTTACGAGTTTCTTATCTTATCGGCGCGCGCTAACGAGATGGGACTCCCGTCGTGATCCCAAAAGTTGGCGGCCGAGGGGGGCAAACAACTGAAACCCAAGACTGGTCAATGTACATTATGCGCCATTGTCCTGTTCGAGATGGCGTCTCGTTGTACTCATAGCTCCCGGCTGTTTATGCCCTTTTTATATCCATCATTGTTTCGCGCCAGTGCCGCAAGCGTGCCCCGTGCTACTAGCTTAGCCCTCGCCCGAAACCTTCGTTACAGCAGCACAGCGACATTGGAACCTCAGCACTCCGAGAACGACGACGAGGCCAGATCGAGACTCAATCCCGCCCCCGACGACTACTCGAACCCATACTTCGCCGACAAAGCCAAGCTCAACGTCTACGCTGGCCCGGGTGGCAACGGCTGTATATCCTTTCTCAGAGAGTTGTTCATTCCCGAAGGCCCGGCGAACGGAGGTGATGGAGGCCATGGCGGCAATGTCTATATCCAAGCTGTCCACGGCGAGACTTCGCTACACAAGTTGGCACGGCGAAGGCATATTCGCGCTGGCCGGGGAAAGCATGGCCAGGGTAGCGCTCAGGGTGGACAGCGCGGAGAAGACGTCATCATAACTGTACCAGTCGGCACAGTCGTTACCGAGATCAGCCGCGACGACCCCGAAGGCGAGAGGCAACTCATTGACAGAGCAAAGTACAAGCGCAAGAGGAAAAAGGACTTTCGTAATGCCGCTGCGCTTGAGGCCCCAAAGGAGGAAGAAGGCGTACAAGGGACAATAGTAGAGGAGGAGCCGCCCGTCAACCCAGACCTCGACCGATGGCTACTATACCCCGGTATCTCTTCGTCAGAGGCCAGAAGAGTTGGCGCCGAACTGCCACGACTACCCCGTCGCGACCGGCTGTTCCAACAACCGCCAGCACCCATATATCTGGACCTGAACCGCCCCACACCACGGCCCATCCTGCTGGCGGCAGGTGGCCTCGGTGGACTGGGCAATCCCCATTTCGCAAACAAGGACAGACCAAGGCCCATGTTTGCGACAAAGGGAGAGCCGGCCATGTCTCTAGAGATTGAGCTCGAGCTCAAGCTTCTTGCCGACGTTGGTCTGGTTGGTCTGCCCAATGCCGGCAAGAGCACCCTCCTGCGCGCCTTGACCAACAGCCGAGCTCGTGTTGGCCACTGGGCATTCACCACGTTACAGCCCAATATCGGCACCGTCGTGCTCGATAACAACAAGGGCCGTCCCTCGGTAAAGAGCTACAAGCGAATCAGCGACGCTCCTGTCGATGATCCCTTTGCTCTCACGGGTGCGCCGGACGAGGTCGAGCAAAGAACGCGCTTCACTGTCGCTGACATCCCGGGTCTGATTGAGGGTGCCCATCTCGACAAGGGTCTCGGTATTGCCTTTCTGCGTCACGTTGAGCGTGCTGGTGTGCTCGCCTTCGTCATTGACCTGGGTGCCGGCAATGCTGTGAAAGCGTTGAAGGCGCTGTGGAACGAGGTGGGCTTGTACGCGCAAATGCGCGAGGATGAAGAGGCCGACCGGGAGCGCGCAGCAAGGATTGACTGGAGTCCCGAGGCCGGTATTGACAATGTCAGCATGTCAGGTGGATGGCCAGCCTCGAACGGCATGGCCGACTATCCACCCTCTGCTGCCGAGCCTGCAGGGTTGTCCATCGCAGGAAAGCCGTGGTTTGTGGTAGCCACCAAGGGAGACTTGAAGGATACTCGGGCCAACTTTATGGAGCTTAGAGATTACTGTGCGGCCGTCACACGGGGGGATGAGCCCCATCCCAGTGGTGTTCAGGGTGCTTGGATTGAGAATGTGGAAGCCATTCCCGTCAGTGCCATCAATGGTCATGGCGTGGAGAGGATTGTTCACTGGACGGTCGGCTTGTTGGATGGCTGAACAAACTCACAAGCTTTCGTTTTCTATTACCCTAGGCTTTAGCATGAGATACCTAGGCCCTCCTCTACTCAGATATCCAGAAGATAAACAAGGAAGCGCAGTGACTAGGTGTATGTATGTACCAGCTTCATCTGACCTGGCGCAACCTAGTCGCAGTTCCAGGTTGTAGTCTGCCCCATTTGGTGGTTGGACCTTGGGCTTACAACCAAAGTTCTTATCAGCGATTACCGATAAGCAATGTTAACCTTGGGGACGAATCCCACTAACCCAACCAGGTTAGCCTGTATACATGATGGATCCCTTACAGTTGCTCCATGTAAAATAACGACCAATTGAAACACGCATTTTTCAAGTTCTCTCGGTTAGCGCCATTCCTAGTCCCCCCACCCCCACATTTTAAGTTTGCGGCGACGGCTTTTGTTTCGAGTCTCGACTTGCACGCGACAGAGACTGGCGTTGCCGCATGTCACTTTTTTTTCTTCCTCCTCCTCCAACACTTCGACTCCGGCTACCAAAGTTGAGTATCGCAAGCGGACACATCTTTGTATCCCCAATTGCGAATCTCTCAAACATGGGTCGCGGTGGTAACTTCAGGGTACGTTCTACCTCAGCAGCAGCTCTTCTCTCTTTTTTTTTTTTTTTTTTTTTTTTTTTTTTTTATATATCCCACGTCATCAGCCTCGACTTCCTTCACTTGTCATACTCGAGTCCCCCAGTCATCCATTCCATGTTGCAGTGTTGCCATCCTCACCTTCCAAAACTAAACGTACTGACCGACGTGTGTATGTGTTACAGAAGGGCCGTGGCGGTGGCCGTGGCGGCAAGCGTAACCGTGATGACAACCGTGGAGGTCACCAGCCTTACACCAGATATCCCGAGGTCGTCAAGCAGAACGAAAGGCTTGAACGCTACTACAACGACCTTCTCCAGCTCCCCGAGGAGGAGCGTGAACAGTTCTGGGCTGCCCTGAAGAGGGAGCTGCCCAACAGCTTCCGCTTCTGCGGCTCCAAGGGGTACAGTCACCTTGGCCGTCTCATGTCTTCATGACCTACTTCCATCCAATTGCTTACCTTCTCTTCACAACAGACACGCTCTCGCCGTCAAGAACCTCCTCCAGACCCGCTACATCCCCGAAATTACCAGAATCACCTACGATGGCGCCGTCGTCGAGCCCCCTCAGCCTGTGCCCTGGTACCCCGACGGCCTCGCCTGGTGGATGACCACCCCCAAGAACGTGATTCGCAAGTTCCCTCCCTTCTCGGCCTTCCAGAAGTTTTTGGTTTCCGAGACCAGCGTCGGCAACATCTCCCGTCAGGAGGTCGTCTCCATGATTCCTCCCCTTCTCATGGACCTCCGCCCCGGCATGACCGTCCTCGACATGTGTGCCGCCCCCGGCAGCAAGGCCGCTCAGCTCCTTGAGATGATTCACCGTGGCGAGGAGGCCAGAATCCGTCACGTCATCAAGCAGTTCGGCGGTTCCGTCGACGAGATCAAGAGCGCCGATGACGACGCCGCCCGCCTCGAGGCCGACCCCAGCGACGACGGCAGAGCTACCGGCATGCTCATTGCCAACGACGCCGACTACAAGAGATCCCACATGTTGATCCATCAGCTCAAGCGTCTCTCCTCCCCCAACATGATCGTCACCAACCACGACGCCACCATGTACCCCTCCCTCAGGATACCCAACCCCGAGGACCCTAGCAAGCCCAACTACCTCAAGTTCGACCGTATCTTGGCCGATGTGCCCTGCTCCGGTGATGGTACCCTCAGGAAGAACGTCAACCTTTGGAAGGACTGGGCTCCTGCTGCCGCCTTGGGTCTGCACCTTACCCAAGTCCGCATCCTCGTGCGTGCTCTCCAGATGCTCAAGCCCGGCGGCCGCATGGTCTACTCCACCTGCTCCATGAACCCCGTCGAGAACGAGTCCGTCGTTGCCGCCGCCATCGAGCGCTGCGGTGGTCCCGACAAGATTGAGATTGTCGACTGCGCCGACCAGCTTCCTCTGCTCCAGCGCAAGCCCGGCATGCGCAAGTGGAAGATCATGGACAAGTCCGCCCGTGTCTGGAACAGCTGGCAGGAGGTTGAGGATCACGCCAAGTCCACTGAGGATGGCATTACACCCAGCCGTCTCGTCGAGTCCATGTTCCCCCGTCCCGAGGGCAGCATCTGCGCCGATCTCCCTCTGGAGAGGTGCATGCGTGTCTACGCTCACCAGCAGGATACCGGTGGTTTCTTCATTACTGTGCTCCAAAAGAAGGCCGAGTTCAAGGCCAAGCCTGAGGAGGTCAGGCCAAAGGAGAAGAAGCAAGCTCCCAAGCGCCCCTTGGAGGAGGCCGAGGGCACTGAGGAGGCTAAGAAGCAGAAGACCGAGAATGATGAGGCTGCCAAGACCGAGGACGTAGTGATTGAGGAGGCGCCCGTTGAGCCCGCCGAGGAGGCCAAGGCTGAGGAGGTTGCCCCCGTTGAGGAGACTCCTGCTACCGAGGAGCCCGCTGCCAAGGAGGAGGCTACCGAGACCCCGGCTGAGACCCCTGCCGAGACTCCCAAGGAGGCCCCCAAGGAGGGTGAGGCCCAACCAGAGCGCAAGCAGAAGCAGCAGGGCCCTTATGAGGAGCCCTTCAAGTACCTCCCTGCCGACCACGAGGTCATCAAGAACATTGCCGACTTCTACAAGATTTCTCCCCGCTTCCCCGCGGACCGCTACATGATCCGTAACGCCACGGGCGAGCCCGCCAAGGCCATCTACTACACCAGCGCCTTGGTGCGCGACATTCTCGTCATGAACGAGGGCCGTGGCGTCAAGTTCATCCACGGTGGTGTGAAGATGTACGTCAAGCAGGATGCTCCCTCGGCCGAGGTCTGCCGCTGGCGCATCCAGTCCGAGGGTATGCCCATCCTCCACGGCTACGTGGGCGCTGAGCGCGTCGTTGTGCTCAAGAAGAAGGAGACGCTGAAGAAGCTGCTCATTGAGATGTTCCCCAAGATCGCCAACGGCGAGTGGGAGAAGCTCGACGAAATTGGCGAGCGCGTCCGTGACTTGGCTCTCGGATGCTGCGTCCTCCGCGTTGAGCCCGATGGCGACGACGAGGAATTCAACGAGCACATGGCTCTCCCTCTGTGGAAGAGCTTCCAGTCGTTGAACCTCATGCTGCCTAAGGAGGATCGCAGTGCGATGTTGCTCCGTATCTACAACGACACCACTCCCTTGATCAACATGGGTATCAAGCGGGATGCGCCCAAGGAGGGTGCTGAGGCAAAGAAGGAGGGCGAGGAGGAGGTCAAGGCTGAGGAGACCGAGACCCCTGCGGAGGCCAAGACGGATGTCACTGTTGAGGCTCCAGCGGCTGCCGAGGAGCAGGTCAAGGATGCCGAGGGTGATGTTTCCATGAAGGAGGAGACCACTGCTTAAACTTGGTTGATTTTCTTGTGGTTGGGGCGTAATTTTCTGGCATATAAGGGAATAGCGAGGAGCTTTTTTCTTGAGTGTGTTGTGGATGGGTAGATAAAACTTTCAGCATTTGTCCATTTAGATAGAGAGAGGGATTTCTTTTAGCTGAAATGGGTTTATAGGTTTTAACTGGGGAAATGCATTTATTGTTTGATCAATTTTGAGTTTTGGGATTCGGAAACGGTGAATGTTGTTGTGACGTGCTTGCCAAACGGAGTGATGGGATGTCGTTGTGAGATACTTTAGAGGTACTCACTCTCTGGTGGATCAACTGTGCACAACTAAGTACCGACGAGGTACCTCTGTCCTCCCAAACTTTCACTTTATGATTCAAGCACGTCGCGTCCCGCAACGCGTGTGCTTGAGCAAGGCATTTCTCCAACTACAAACACTTCGATGATCATGATATGTGGAATTTTTGGACAGCGACATAGACATCTTTTCAGTATGCGAAATAGCAGTGGGTCATTACATTCGATCGAAACCTGAACGGCATCTGATGCAAATTTGTCGGGACCGCGCGAACCTGTGCCCAACCTTGATCAACCACCATCGCGAACCTTTCGAGATCCCGGACCCGACAATTACTTTCGGATAGTGGTATTGACAAAAGACATTTTCAAGCAAATGGTTCATCTCTGAGTCGTTTGCATATCAGGAGTCAAAAATCAAAGGAACACCATACGATGCCCACTAATAAAGCCCCGACCTCGAACGAGTGGGATTTGCCCAAGTTGAGGGCGTCTATCAATTTCCAGGTACGAGTAATTCTACCAAGTTAGCAGAAGCTATTCTATATATTATGCACGCACGCCCAATGATGACGAAGGAGGAGGCCAACTTGCTGACCTCCCCCAAACAGGACGACTGGAAAGATCCCGTCTCTGGCGAGTCGATAGCACATGGTACGTCCGGTGTCTCACTTTGGTGATTTTCTTTTGGTTCTCCCGGGGACATATGAGAGAGTCCAGGAGTGTCAAACCCCAGTCTGTGTGTGTGTGAGAATTGATAAACTAAACTAAACAAATGAACTGAACAACAATGACTTGACAGAATTCTTCGACGTGAAATTCTACCCGTACAACCCCGTCGGCGCCCCGCCCGTGTTCGCCATAGCTAGTAAGAAGCATGTACGTTGTTGTTCCTGTTTTACTGACTGTCACTTTGATGATTATTGGATGTCTGTGATGTTTTTCAAGGCTTATGAGTAACTCAAGGAGACATGCTAATTACTAGTCAACACAGGTGATCATATGTCGCATCAATCAAAATACGGACAGCAGCACCAATCCTGTCGAGGTGTTGAAGTTGATAAGAGACGATGATGTGAGTTTTCGATTCGACCCCAACTGTGTGGCCGTTCGGATAGATGAGAATGTGCTAATGTATGTGTATTGGTGAATAGGATGACGCAGCAAACTGTTCATGCTGCTGGTCCAAGGACATGGAGACGGGTCAACCATGGCTTTGTATAGCCGGGGCGGATGCAAAGGTGAAAGTCTACGATGTCAAACAGGGCAAGTTAGTCAAGGTTGGTGGTACCCTCCATTATTCCCCTATGCGATGCTAATGACAGAAACAGACCCTCGTAGGCCACGGCGGCGGCATCAACGACCTCGTCACCTCCCCGCTCACCCCCTCCCTCATCGCCTCCTGCTCCGACGACACCACCGTGCGCCTCTGGTCCCTCCTCCCCATCCACTCCGCGCAACCGTGCATGTTCATCCTCGGAGGCGACGCCCACACCTGGGACCTACTGAGCATCGCCTTCCACGACACGGGCCGCTACTTACTGTCCGCAGGCCACGACCAAACCATCAACCTGTGGACTATCCCGCCTTGTCCTTCCGAGCCCGTCACTCACCCTTTGGTCATCCACTACCCGCACTTTTCCACAAAGGAGATCCACAACTCGCTGGTGGACTGCGTTTCCTTTTTTGGAGATCTGATTCTTTCTCGCGCCTGCTGGGAAGAGACTATAGTCCTGTGGTCTGTATCAGGCTTTTCCTCCTCCTCTTCTTCCATGTCCCCCTCCCTTTCCCCCTCCCATTCCCCCTCCTCCACTTCCTCTTCGTTCCAGGGTAACGACCTTCCATTGTCAACAGCCCCCACAACCTTTGACCCCTCCAAACTCACCCGCTCCGCCTTCTGGCAAGCCCCCGACCTCAACCCCGAAACCCGCCCGGCCTATTTCACCAGACTGCTCCAGTTCAAAACGGTCGATTGCAAAGGGCAGTTCTACATGCGCTTCAAAGTTCTGCATGCACAAGGGGGCAAACATCCCGTGTTGGCATTTTGTAATGCGCGGAATAAATTTATGTTTTGGGATTTGAGCCGGTTGGGTAGTTGGCAGCGGTTTCTGGGGGAACTTAGGGAGGCTGAAGAAGAAGCCGAGGCGGCGCAGGGGAAGGAGAGGAGAGAGAGGATGAGGGTGGTTGAGCAGCCTGGGTGGATGCCTGCGAGGAAGGCGCCCAGACGGACTGCAACCGGAGAGGGAGGGGGAGGGACTACCTATTCTTCTACGGCAGCGGCGACGGCGGCGGCGGCGGCGGCGAACTACAAGGCTGCGGGGAGTATGGCTGGACGAGCTTCAGGAAAACAACTTGGTACCGGGACGTCCACTAGTCCTGATCCCGAGACTTTGCTTTCTGCTTCTGCTGTTGCTGGTGGTAGTGGTAGACCAGGTTCGAGTTCGAGAGAGAGACCGGGCTCCAGAGGATCTACTACCACCACGGCTACGGCTACAGCTACGGCTACCCAAACAGCAGCAAACAGGCCCCCGGGCATAGGACTGGGAGGATACACACAAAAGCAGCTGGATGAGTGGCATGACCAGTGTGATATTACGGATTCGCACAAGGAGATTAAACCGCATAAGACGGTTACGGTGGATGGCAAGGGACAGCATTTTGTGGGGAGGCAGGTGGCGTGGAGTCCCGAGGGGAATTGGTGTGTGGTGGTGGGCAATTCGAATCGGGCTATGATCTTTCAGCGGTGGGGGAAGTAAAGAGTAAAGGGGGTGGGATGGCGGTTGGAAGAAAATTCGGGGGGAAGGTATAGGACAGTTGTGAGAGCAGACGAAGAGGTGTGTGTCGTTGATAGTAGCACTTAAAGACTTGGTTTGATGATTTTAAGACAATATCTTGTCATTCAACTCCTTTGGGATATCAAACTGACGGGGGAAAAAAAAGGTGAGCTAAACAACCCCAACTTCATCTCATAGCCAAAGCAAACGTACCTCTACTCCTCCCCCTATCCCCCCCTTCCTCTTCCTCCCCCTCCACATCCTCATCCTCCCCATCACCTTCAGCACCACCACCACCACCACCAATCAACTCCAAAATCCACTCATCCCCCTCCTCCAACTCCCCCCCTCTCAACTCCCTCATTTTTATAAACAATACCCTCGCCCTATCCCTCTCAGCAGCCTGTGCCCCCCTTCCCTCCTCCTCATTCATCCTCTCCTCATGCGACTTCCACCCACTGCCCCCCTCCCCTTCCACCTGAGTGACCGTAACAGGCACGCTCAAATCCCCCACATAAAGCGCCACCATGGCTCTCAACCTCACCAGCTCCACATCTTTATTATAGGGGGTATTCTCCAAGACGGCATCCATGCGTCTCGCTACATCCTTCATTTGCTCCAACGCCTTTATTCTCAGTTTCTCTTTCTCTCTTCTTAGTCTTACTTCCGGCCTTTTGCTTCTTCTTTCATCCTCTTCCATTTCTGTTCGGTATAGAGGGTGGACGTTGACGGTATCCATCTGTCTGGAGTGACTGGAGTGACTGGGGTAGTAAGCAGATGGTGAAGGTGGTGAGGACCTCAGGGGGTCGAGGAGGAGGGCGGATTGCTGGTCGATTTGCATGTGATCATCATCCCCTCCGAACTTTGGTAGATCATCGTCGTCGTCATCAATGAAATGGTGTCTGTCAAGTTGTTCCACCCCGTACCGATGTTCCGCAAAACAAGCCTCCATCTCGAACCCAAACAGCGCAGGATAGAAATCCACGGCGCCTATTTTGTTAGGATGCAGCCTGCTCCATGGATGTAAATGGATGAGCGTCTCGTAGTATGCCCGCACTCGATCCCGATTTTGTGCTGCGCGGAGTAATCGGTTGCGTTCCTTCCTCTCTTTTGTATCCTCCTCTTCCATCTCCCCCCCTTCCCCAGATGGTCCCTCCCCGTATATACCTTTTTCCTCTTCCATCTGCGTCCCATCCCCAAACAACCCGCCTTGTGACCCTCCCCCCAACTGATTCCCCTGGTTTTCCCCTACCCTCATCAACACCTCCGCTCCCAACTCCCAATACCCACCAAACCGCAAATCCACCTTCCGCCCATTTACGTCCGCCCTCACCAGCAAGCCGAACGCCCTTCTCGCCAGCGCTATGTCCCCCTCGGCTAAACAGCGCTGAATGATAGCGACCAGTGCGCCAACGCGCGATTGATGCGCTTTGTGCAGCTTGGCTGTGCTGCGGACGGGGTCGCGCTTGGCGTAGGGTTTTCCCGTGCTGGTGACGGAGATGGTGTCGTGATCTGTTATAGTTGTCCATCCGTCTGTTTCGGCGTCGGTGTCGCCGGCGTCGGAGTTGAAGGTGGTGCTGGCGAAGCTGCTGCGGCGGGAGCGAGATTGAGAGCGAGGATGAGATGAAGTAGGTGAGGAGGGAAGGGGTCGGTGGGGGAAGTCGGGGTAGATGGAGGAGGGGAGGGGTGCGTCGGGGGAGTTGCCGGCTGGGAGAAATTGTTTGAGGGTGGAAGGCGGGTGGGAGAGGGGGTTGATGATAGTTGAGGAGGAGGGTGTTGCTGAGTAGGTGGTTGAGGTTGTTGAGAGGGCGCGTTTGCGCTTGGTTGGGGAGCGGGAGTCCATGAGATATACGATCGTTTTTTTTTTTTTGTTGATTTATCTGGATGATATGCCTCGACTTTGTTGGTGACTGTGGATATGTTTTGGTGTATTTGTTGATGAGTGATGTTTTGATGTTTTGGTAAAAGTTTCGTCAAGTGGAAAAGCGAGTGAAAGAAAACTCAAATGGTAAAATCCCCGGTTGGTCAACCCCGCCTTGTGAACCTTGCATCACTTGGGAAGACTTTCGAAGTTAATGAACACACAAAATCTTTACTCTGATCCTTACACAAGCGCCATGGTCTTGTAAAGACGCCCTTGGAGGTTTGCTACATGTAGTCGAAGGCTGTTGTGTACATTGGTCATGGACCCACTCGGTGATGATCATCCTCAGCAATGCCACTTAGACTTAGCACTGTGTCGCCCGATCAAAGATATATAACTACTTCTTCTCACATACAACTCAAACGTAGACCTAATAATGCAAAGCCCACAACACCCTGAGGAGGCCACGATCATTCCCGCCTGCCAAAGTCTATGATTATATACATCTCCCGGCGTGGTATGGTATAGGTACAACTGGCTGAGAAATGCCTGCCCTCCCTCCTTCTTCGTAACGCTCATAAAATAGGTGGCCGTCATGGCCTGGTTGGTCCTGTGTTCCCATTCTCTATGTCTGTCGATGTTTGTTTACTCCTTACGCTCAAAGTAAGTCCATTGGCCCTCTGGCGCCTCCTCCTCAAGAGCTTCCCAACTGTGACGGGTTAGTCCACAAGAATCGCATGCTTAAGGACAGAAAATAAAACTTACGGCCTGGCCTGGGCCATAATGTCAACCAGCTTAAGCTCGCCTTCGGCAACCTGAACAACCTCCTCAATCAAGCCAGAACCAATCCTGGCCTCCATCTCAGCAATCCTGTACGAAAATCAGATGTCAGAATATTTCTGCGAATACCGCATCCAGCACCCATGTAGAGAGCTGCAACAGCGGGACACACAAGACAGGGATCAGGGCCCATATGTAGCTGTCATATCCACTCGGAAGGGGAACACGCACTGTTCAGCGCTCAACGGCGGCTCCGACTCCCACTCGACGGGGCTCTTGTCCTCGACAACACCGCCCATCTTGATACCGAGATCCCTGAGACCCTGGCGATACGCAACCGGGTCTGATTCCCTGATCTTGTCCAGCTCGAGCAGCTTGTCACTGTCTTCCAGCTTGACCGCGCCGACGACATCCTCGCCGGTCTGAACCCAGGAAAAGTGCGGATCCAGGACGGCACCATCCCACTCGACGTCGCGCCAGTCCTGCGGGGTGACCATCTGGCGGATGAAGTAAGCGCGGCCGTCGGGGCCTTCGACTAGGCGGGCATGTTGGCCGTCGAACTGGCGGGCCGTGAGGTCGCTCTTGTGCTTCTCGAGCAGCTTGCGGGCGCGCTCCTGCCAGGCGTCATAGCCGTCGGGCACGTACTGCTCGACAATGGCGAGGCGGTGCTTGGTCAGGGCCTCGGCGGACTGGCGGTACAGCGAGTGCTCGGGGATCTGCTTGAGCTTGTCGAGGGTGTGGTTGTAGAGGTACAGCAGGGCGGAGCGCGGCGACGGGTGGGTGCCGAGGCCGGTGAGGCCGGTCGGGGAGCCGGGCTTGAGGAAGCGGGCGGACGGGCGGACGGTACCCGTCGCGGTCGCGAGCAATCGGAGTGCCGCGCGCATGGTTTCCGAGTCGTGTCGTGAGGTTGTTGACTGACTCGGGGTCCGGTGGGGTGGGGTGGATTGTGGGTTGTCGAGGGGACGAGAGGAGTCCAGAAGGTGGACCGGGATGGCAGAGGTACCACGGTAATGTACAGCGCCCGGGCCTGGCATTGATTCGGTTGAGTGATGAGCAACTCACATGATGTGGCACGTGCACGGGAGCTCCCCGCTTAGCTTCTGCTCTCATTGGCCAATTGCCTCCTGTTGTCTACGGACAAACGATTGCACACAGCAAGCTACAGCGGGGTAGCTTAGGCCTGTTCCAGCCACATGAAGCCGTGCTTGCAAACGCCTTGTCAGCTGTCACTCCGCGGAGATGTCTTCCCCAGGCCACTTCACCAACACCACCCACCCACTCGGCTTCATGATGAGCGACAACACTTGCCACGATGAACACAACACGTCATTCAACAGTTTCACTTTCATTGCCACGCCACGCTATGCGACGCTCAAAACATTTGCTCAGAAAACCAACACATCCTCGTCCTTCCACCCCAGCCCCTTCAACACCTCCCGAACCATATTCTGCATTCCCTCCGGTCCACACAGCAACACCATCGTCTCCTCTCTCAAATCCCCTTCTCCAACCTCTCTTTCCAGCATCGTCTTATCCAACCTTCCTCTCAGCCCTGTCCACTCTTCACCCGGTCTACTCAGCGTATACTTGACCCTACACCTCCCCTCGGGTTTGGCCCTCTCCACCAACTCATCCAACTCCCTCTTCATCAAAATATCTCCCTCTACCCTGTTCCCATCCAACACCAAACACTCGGTCCCGTCTTGATCATCCACGGCAACTGCCCTCAGAACCTGGTAGATAGGCGTCACGCCCGACCCACCACAAATCATGACAAACCTCTTGACCTTCCTCTCTCGTCCATTGACAGAACAGACGCCCCGTCCTTGGTAGACAAACTTGCCCACCGGTCCTTTGAACTCCACGGCTTTCCCCAGTGCCAAAGCATCCAGCGCCTGTGTCATTTGTCCTCCCTTTATATCTTCGGTAGGAGAATCGTAGTAGATCTTGACCAACACCCGGAGAGTTCCCCGCTCCGAAGTGCCGTCCGAGATGGGCGTGTAAGCGCGGATGATGGATTCGGTGGGTTTAGCAGGGTCAGGGAGTCGCATCATGAGATGTTGGCCGACGGGGAGGCCGATGGATTGGGCAGGGTGTGACAAAGTGAAGTGGAAGATTTTGGTATCCGGGGAGACGGATTCTTTGGAGGTGAGGATGGCGCTGTTCCATGTCTTGGACTGGAGGAAGATGGGGCGGTTGGGATCGCTGAGAGCTGGGTCCGAGGTGGAGGAGGACTTGAGAGCCGCGAGGGCGGAGGGAGTGAGGGTGCCGATGTGGTAGGTTGGCATCATTGCTTTGGCATTTTCGCTGTCTGTGAAGAGTCAGTTAGATGGACTCATGACGATGGACCAGAAAGAGGTGGACTTACGAATGGCTAGGAACTCGTCGGTTACGTCCTGTCCAGCAGCGCCGGTGATAGAGGCAGCACCACCTGGATGACCTTCGAGGAACGGCGTCCCGTCGTAAACTTGGCCGTTCACGACGAACCAGGGCTCTTCCTCACCATCGTGCTGGCGGAGCTCTTCAAGTGTGATAAGTCGAGTGACCTTGTCATCCACCATGCTGATCTCCTTGACAGGCTCTTGTTTGACGACGTTCTCCTCAGCCCCGGGGACTTTCTCACCCCAAAAGCCATTAGCAAGGTTCCCGCCCTCCTTCTTCACTCGATCCATCCAACCGTCCGACGTCAGCATCGGTTGAGTAGGATGCTCGAAACGCAAGGTATCGCCCTCATGATGAATAACGACCCGAAACCAAGGGTTATTCATCATCCCCAGCACACTCCAATACATCTCCTTGGGCTGTAGCGCCAGCGACTCATCCATCGCTCGGATGCACACATCCTTTGCCTCGCGCAGCTCGGAAAGAGGAATCTCCAAATCCCAGAAACACCAACAAAAGCAGCTCTCCCGCCACGACACATCCAACCTTCCACCAAACAACTCCTCCCCATCTTGAGCTTCCCGATACCGATCCTCTGGGTACTCAATGCCCGCCAGCCTCCAGCTCTTCCCCTGATCAAGCGTCACCTCCAACCTCGTCACCCTCCTCCCTCCACCCGCGTACGCATATCCCCTCAACCTGTACGTCTCCCCCTCTTCCTTCCCTCTCAGCGACACAACCTCCCCATGCCCCGGCTCACAAATCACACTATTCACATTCAAATCATAAATCGCATACCTCTCATCCCTCCACACCCTCTCCATCTCCTCCGTCTTCTCCCCACTCTCCTCCGGCCCCACCGTCGTCGGCAACACCCTATTATCAAAAACATGATACCAATTCTCGCTCGGCCCCTTGGTAACCACAATCCTCTTCAACCACTTGACACTCCGTCCACCAATCTGTCCCGGCACCACCACCCTGACCGGCCGTCCATGATCAGGATGCAAGTTCTCTCCATTCATCTTATGCGCCACCATGATCCCCTTATGTGGATCCATCGCCCACGCAAGCTTGACACTGGTTCCGTACGTCCCATTCGGCAGCTGATCTGCGCCCTCAAAGCAGACGTACCTCGCCCCTCCCTTTTTCGTTAGTGGTTTCGCTTTCGCCAATATCTCAGAAAGTCCCACCCCCGTCCACAACGCAGTCGATAGCCCGCCCGCTCCCCATGAGAACCCCTTCGATTTTCGGAGCACGTTTTGTTCTTTTCGCCTGTTGCCTGCGCACACTAATGTAACGGGGTACGTGACGTTGTCCCATTTGGAAGCGTCCATCAGCTCCCGCACGGTTATTGTTAGGGGGTGCTCTACGAGTCCTTCGACGGTGAATTCCCAGTTTAGTAGCGAGTCGTCCACTTCCTCCTCCTCATTGATGGTAGTGGTGGCGGTAGCGGTAGCGACAGATGTAGGAACGGGCCCGTGGTTCCGCACGTAATGAAGATTCTGCGGGGTTAGGAATCCGTGCTCAAAGAGCGCAGTGAGCGGCGGTTCGACGTTGAAGGGGTGGGATCCCGTGAGGCGAATGAGGCGCGGGTCGCGCGGGATGAGGTGGTCGGGGGTTTTGAGGTCGATGGGGAGGATGGTGGTTAGTCGGGTGGAGGGTGGGGGGAGGGGGTAGGACGGTTTGGAGATGAGTGATGAGGAGGTTGCTGTTGTGGTTATTGGGGAGGGCGGGCAGGAGGTGTTGTTGGATGAGTGTAAGTTATCGGAGGTCTCTGTGGAGTGGTCGTCGGATGAGGATGAGAAGTCGGTTGTGGTCGGGCTGGCGGTGCGAGTGCTGGCGAGATCGTTGTCAATGTCGTTGTCATTGTCGGACGGACAGTAGTCCGCCGCCGCCATTGGGTTCTTCTCTGCTGCTGCAGCAGCGCCATTTGGCAGGATGAGAGATGTGAATTTCTGTTGGCGTTCCGATTCAAGAATTTGATGCTCGAGAGCTGGAGCCTCCATGATGATGCTCGTGAGGTAGGTAGGTAGGTAGGTAGGTAGGTGTGTAAGTGATAAGCGAACCAATTAAAGCGCTAACAGGATTTCGCAAAGGCAAGAAAGAAGGGAAAAAAAAGAAAGATCTGTGCTTGAGGCAGAGTCGAGAGCTGCACTTCAAATATACTTCAAATATGTATAACAAGGGGCATAAGAAGAGTTGTAAAGAGCTTTCTTGAACCAACTGTGAACAGTTTGGAAAAAAAAAAAAAAAAAAAAAAAAAAAAAAAAAAAAAAGTACACACACAAAAAAAAAATGCAGATAACAAAATCCAGTGATCAACACCGATGACAGATATAACCATGTATTCAAGATCGGTGGGTTTCCCCTAACGTCTGGTGTACATACATAGCAAGTCTAGAACAGCTCTATGTAACGCCTCTTTCTTTCTTTCTCTCACTAACGAGAAGGCGAAAAGGCGAATGAATACGTAACAAACACAACCCAAAGGTACTAACTAGTTCTGCGTAGTATTGTGTCATGAAATTTTTACAAATTTCTTTCCGGGGGGCGTTTGAGAAGAGGGTCCGTCACATCCAGGCAGCCGGGGATCGATCGTTTGATAGTTCGTGGATAGCAACCATTTGTTTTTTGTTAGTTTGTTTGTTTGTTTTGTTTTGTTTGTTACTGTGAACTGCACTGACCTGAACTGTCCTGAACTGACCCTCGTACGACGACCTACCGAGCTACCATACGGGTAGTTGTGTGGTGGTGAATGGTGGGTGGTAATACCTGAACCGTTATCTCGTTCCCCCCATACGTCACTCTGTCCCAAACTGTTGGTAATAATTTTTTTTCACACCAATTTCTTTTCTTTTCTTTTTTTTTTTTTTTTCCCGCATTTAATAACATACATAGCTTTGTTTTTTTTCCGGGGTAAACACCAAAACGGAAAAGCGAAAAAAAAAAAAAAAACGGAAAAACGAACATCACCGGTTGCCACGGAGAAACCAAATTCGATCGATCTCAGTCTGGCAGCAGCAGCAGTAGCAGGGAATCTGAGAAGCTCGCTCCGCGGATTTACCTCTCCCAGAGAGATAATCAGTAGTACTTATCTATGTACCGACCGTAGTGTAGTCCCGGCTCCCGGCTCTTATGTACTGCATTACACTAGAATGTCATGGGTGTCTTTGACGAATCAGATGATGGGATGGCATGATTGATAAGGTTGATAGTGCATCATTGTATTTATTGTATTGTATTGTAGATAGGCCGGCGCCCGGAGATCCATGAATCAAGTCATTCAACAACAGCTCAAGCCAACACCACGGTAACTTGACGAACCCAACTTGAAGGGGGAAAGAAAAAAAAAAATTAAAAGTAAACTAGGAACCAAAACCGCCCCCATGGGTCCCCTGAACCCCCTCGGGCAGCGGGCACTGAACCCCCGCGTCGGTAACGGGGCGGCGCCAAAGAGATGGAACCCATTTCGATATCCGGATAACATAACCAAGCCCGTCTAGATGTCTGCAGTTCGGTATCTGGAGGAGGAGGCGGCGGCGAAAAACGCATCTCCGGATGAGATACACCACAGCTCAGTTGGATCGAAACATGATACTAGCTTGAACGTAATGACGACTTTAAACCGAACGTTCCAACCGTTCTGTCTAGTCAATCAACACGGTCAAGCAATAATGCTTCTTCTTATTCTTATTCTTGTTTCTCTGAATTATTCATCTTTCTTGATTCGGTTATGGGTGGTATCACGGTAATAATAATGCCCTTTCTGCTTTACTCTGCCCTCTCTCATCACATATCCACACTTCGCACCCCTACACTACCTACACCCCCAGTGAAGCATCATCATGACCCCCCACCATGCCCCCCGTCCTCCTCACTCCTCAGCCCAGCATACTCGGTCCCCTGATTAGCCGTACTCAAGCGCGCACACAGACTCAACAGCACCACCGTCTCCGTTGCCGCATAGTGGTTCAGTGCGTCCAGCAGGATCTGCAGGTGTCGACTAAAGTTGCTTTCCCACTTGCGTATCACGTCAAAGAGCTCGTTCATTCTCGTCTCGGGGTTCTTGTCGTTTTCCATGGCTGTGTCTCCGTCTTTGGATTGCTGTTGCTGTTGCTGCCGTTGGCCCCGAATCAGAAGGAACTGTCGCCATTGATCGTCCGTCATAATGGGCGGCTTGGTGTTGCCTGTCAGGTCTGGATCCGACTTTTCGAGCTCCCGGGAGAGCCAGTTGGTGTAGGTGGCGAAGACGGAGCAGGTTTGCATTAGTTTGGAGTGGATCTGGGGGGTTTGTTCGTTAGTTTGTATTATTCGGAATATTTAGGGTAGGAGATAAGGGCGGACAAGACATACTCGTAACAACTTGCTGTTGGTCAACATGCATTCCTTCAAGCAAGTGTCGAGGAAATCCACGTGTTCCTGCATAAGCCCATCGACGGTATGAGGCTTCTTGGCAGATGATGCCCTTGGCGTAGAGGTACCGTCTTGTGTAGTCACACCAGCGCAGTTGTTCTCAATCTCCCGGAGCGTGTTCATGAGCTTCTGCCAGTTCGGCTCGATTACCTCGGCAGTGCAAAAATAAAGCAGCTGCTGAACGAATACAAGCATACGAGCTCGGAGTGTCCATACCCTTCGCTTCCAGATCTCCAGCATGCGGTTAGATGAACGGTGTGTCCAGGCCGTGCCGCTTGCGTGAGTATACCATGTGACCGATAGTTGGGTCTCGAGGTAACGCAGTGACAAAAGGTAGCGGAACAAGGCCTGATAACGCCAAATGGTCTTTCTGCTAATAACAAGAGACACCGGGAAGGGAACAGTATAGTCGAGCTGTAGCGAGGTAAATCCAGTGGCGTTTTTGTCGCCTTCCAACGGTTGGTTTGATGTAAGCTGAAGCGCCTCGCCTTGCTCAATACCGGTAATGTTAACGACCCGCTGAAGCGATTTGAGTAGCGTAATCTCATTCATCTCCACCTTGACATCCTCCTTGAACTTGTCAAGACAGACTATGCTTCCCGGTTGCCGTAGGACTAAATCGAGCAAAGACTGGAGTTTGCCAGTGTTCACCACCTTGACGGGCTTTCGTAGTTCGGACGTTCCTAGTTCCAAAAAGTAGTTGAAGTAATCCGAAGGGTCCAGGAAGAAGTAGTGCTTTAACGATCGTAGTCTCGCCGGCAGCTCGTGTGTGGTAAGAAGCAATTGCATTAGCGATCCGTTGGCATGAGCGTAGGCGCTGCTGATATTCTCCAAAAACCTATTGTCGTCGAACGAGTTTGGTACGTCCTGCATCTTGCGACTAACATCGACGCCTCCGCACTCTCGGACAACGTTCAGGTATTTGCCAGCCAGCAAGACCTTGTCTTTGACGGCCTCCAGTTGAGGTGGCACATCGTGATCTCGTATCGTATATCGCCTCTCCCAGTATTCGTCGGTATAATCCTGCTCTAATCGATCCCTGCGAATACTCTTTTGTTCTTTGATCAGAAACTCGGAATGTGGGTCGTTGATGCTTCCATGGTGCAACCACTCGTTCAACATGGCCATGTATGGTCGGCTTGCGTCCCGTAGCAGAGTTGTGAGTAGCACTCTGGCGGACGGGTCTCCAGATAGCGACTCCAGTCTCTTGGTAATCAAGCCCAATACCACGCCTCCCTTGGATATCTTTTTGCCCGTCATATTCCCCGGTACAAGATCACCGCCGTCTCTGAGCTGCTCGATGATGTGATCGAAGTCGTCGTCGGAACTATCGCTTGATTCGTCCGAATCGTCATCCAGAAGCGCATTGCGCTTTAGTAGCTCCAGCGCCAACCCATACATGTGAGCCATCAGATGGCTGCTGGGAAGGATATGCACGTTGAGTTGCTGTAATGTAAAGTTCTTGTCGTTGAGAAACTGTGTCTCCAGCTGGACAACCATGACCAGATACTCGTGCAAATACCTCCGGATCGAGGCGCACAAGGCGTGGTTGACGGCACCGAATTCTTCGCGACTCTGAACATCAACAAAGGTCTCAAGCGCCGTGTAGTGAGAAGCCATGCGCAGCATGGATTGTGTAAGGTCCAGCAAGCTGGGATCCAGCCCAGATAGGATGCGCCATTGTGGCCCAGACAAGCGGTCTCGTTCCTCGTAGGGATTGTAGCCTTTTGCGAATCGAATGTACTGTCCCTCGAAGCCCATAAACACGAAGAGCAGGTCCTCGATGATGGCAGCCTCTTGCGCATTGAGGGACAGCTCGGCAAGCGGTCGCGGCTGTAGTGTCTGAGGTGCGGACGAAGCAACTGGCGGTATCGAGACTCGCGAAGCTAAAGGGGCTGACGTGTGAGGGAGTAGGGTAGCGGCGGGTTCCCAAGGGGCTGGCGGTGGTGGTTGTTGTTGTTGTTGTTGTTGTTGTTCAGCAGCGCGGCTGTCTCCTCTTGGCCGCCTTGACTCGACATTCCGTGATCTGGACTTGAGGGTGTCGCTACCAGCGCTGAGGGGGTCGGCGTTCCGGCCGGATCGAGCCATGGTAGGATCGCGTGTGGTCACCTGGACTTTGGCTGGGCGGCGGTCATTGACGAGGGTTCTGCTGGTGGGACGTGTCTGTGATGTGGATTGGGTCGGGGCCAGGGTGGCCGATGATCCCATTGCGGAGGTGACTCTGGCGGCGCGGCGGTCGGGGAAGTGGGAGAAGGTTATGGATATGTTTGGCGGCTCGTGGCCATGTACAAAGTCGTGGGCCGCTGGACTGGATCTGGGGCCGGGCGTGTCGGGTCTGGGTTTGGTGAAGGTTGACGGTCGGAGACCCGGTGATGTTGCCCCCTTCTAAGGGTACATTATCTTTGGACTTGTAGCTTGTCAGCCTAACGTATTGTAATCTGAGGGTTGTCCTGTGAGGAGACGTTGTTGGATATGGAAATGGAGGAGGAATTGCGATGCCAACAAGGTAGCAATCGCACTCCAACAGTTGAGTGATACTGAGAGAGGATGTTGGGGTGTCGGCGGAATGGAAACCCGATGCTTGATGGAAGTGACGCGACCACCAACAATTGGACGCGTTAGGTATCAGAGGGAGGAGGACCCGCCAAGCCAAGCGGTCTCAGTGGATGATGGCCCAGCGGCTTCCTTCGTTCCACAGGGGCAGGGAGGGGCACCTGCAAGTACCTTTTGGGACACCTAGGGTGCAGGG